ACAAAAATGTAAATATGTTTTATTTTTGAAAATGTATTAATTGAATATATATATTATATTATGTTTGTATCATTGCATGAATGAAAAATATTACTCATATTTTGTATTATTTTGTTATAGATATTTAAACATAGTTACTTCTTTTCATCCAATAGAGGACGTGGAATCAAGCAAGAAATTAAATGCAAAGATTGTTTTGTCAAACTAGGTGCCAAACTTTTTGATAATGTTTTATAAAATTTCCTGTTACATAATATTGTTTAAAACTTTTTAAACCAATTTACTTTGTTTCACGAAAATATGAATCTTTCTTTTTTTAAATTACGATTTTCTTTCTTTGTAAATTTGAAAATTCTTTACATTATTTTATTTAAATACTTTCATTTATTAAATATTCTTCTATTCTATTTTTGAATGAATATTTACTACGTCACATATATAAAACCAACAAAGGATATTCGATGCATCATCCAAAAACGTTTTTTTTTTTTTAGAAACATACTTTTTGAAACAGTGAACTTCGACACAGTGACCTTGAAATGAAAAGAGTTTTTTCCCTTCCCATCATCCTCCACAGTTAAAAATTTCGTTCCAATTAAACCTGTGGAACTTACGATTTCACCAAAAAATACATTCGTTTGAATTACACTATCTCTAGAAATAGTAAGCATGAAAGTTTGACCTAATATCCCGAAATTCGATAATCTTATGTCATCTCCTTATCTTCCTTTTGTTTCAATTAAGCAAGGGAAACTCTAGATAATATTTTGAAAGTGTTTGTTTCGGACACTTGAACGAACATAAGACAGACGGACGTTCAAAGCGGTGACTATGTGACTGAGTCGATACCTCTGCTGGTGGACTGTTAGTCTCCGAGGATATCACCAGCCCAGGAGCCAGAACTTCGGTACTGGCATGAAAATACAAATATTGTGTTATTAAGATTTGCTGTTACAAAATTTTGGAAATTATTTTACATTAGGAATATATCTCCCTCTTGCAAAGCTCTGATTCGTTGCCTTGGCATTGGGTTTACTTTTTTTTGTCATTTATGGTTTAAAGGCTCTTCGTTTCTTTTAATAAATTTAGGATTTTCAAATAGTTTTTCCTCAAGACATTTGTTGTCGAAATGCGCATCTGGTGCAAAATACTTGGTACTGTTAATGTTATTACTATACCACTGGGTCGATATCTCTGCTGGTGGACTGTTAGTCCCCGAGGGTATGCCCATCCTAGTACCAGTACTTCGGTACTCGCATGAAAATACAGATATTGTGTTTTTAAAATTTGCTGTTACAGAATTTTGGAAACTATTATAATTTAAGGAATATATCTCACTAATGCAAAGCTCTGATCCTTGCCCTAGCCCGGCTTTGTCCCCACCTTAGCAGCAATATACCAACTTCACCTGCAAACTGATATACATTTCCCAACTCAGCAGAAAGTTGATGAACCAGGGTTATGTCAAAGAACGTCTCGTTCTTTTTTCTAAAAAAGTTCATCGGAAGATACCAAAACCTTGATGATAAATATTCCGTATCAACTTCATAAATAATACATGATGGTCTTGAAGTATAGATTCTAGGTACTGACGTTGTTTATCATCTTAATTACGTGCTATAGTGTTCTTTTTATTTTTCTTTGTATATTTTTAACCTTTACTGTTTAGTCCATTTTTGGTAATATACTTTTGGCGTGGTAAGGTATTTATACATCCCGCCATTGTGTTATTGTGCTATGGTCATTTTCGTATTCTTGTCATGCATTTTTACTTTTGTACTTTGTCTATAGAATGTCTATATGCCATTTTGTTTTTCTTTGTTGAAATAGTTATTTGTTTTTATAGTGATTAAGATAATAACTCAATCTTGACTGCTGTAACCCAATTTTTTTTTTTTTTACGCCTATTATGTCTGTTTGTTTTGCTCACACATTGTTGTCAATATAATGGAATTCTATATGACTCTCATACAAGTGAGAGGTTTAGCTAGCTATAAAACCAGGTCTAATCCACAATTTTCTACAAAAGGAAATGCCTGTACCAAGTCAGGAATATGACAGTTGTTTTCCATTCGTTTGATGTGTTTCAGCTTTTGATTTTGCCATTTGATAAAGGACTTTCCGTTTTGAATTTTCCTTGGAGTTCGTTATTTTTGTTATTTTACTTTTGGCTATATTTTTTGTCCTTTTTGGTTTATAAGCTCTTCGTTTTTCAAATATTTCGGCCTTGAGCATCACCGAAGAGACATTTATTGTCGAAATATGGACATTCTGGTGCAGAAAAATTCGTACCGTTAATGTTTTTATCGAACTTCAAACTAAATATTTTATCCAGCTACAAATTAATTCATTCGGTTCCGGATGTTCTTAGGAATTTGGAACTTAAACGAAAAATGAAAGGTTGATCTTTGTTCAATGTACTTGATATCTAAATTTCATAAGTATCATAAGACGTTGTATTGATGGGTCTGCTACATACTCCACAAAACTTCTATTCAAATTATCAAAAGCTATTTTATCAGCAGTGAAAACCGCACTACGGTATAAAAATGACAAGATGTTGTATGATTCACAATGAGACCACTATACATCAGAAACCATGTGACGTAGATGTAAGCAGCAATGAGAAAAAACCGTTACTGTATAGTAAGCTATAAATGGCACCGACATGAAAAAATGTTAAATAATTCAAGCAAGAGAACCAACGGTCTGACTTATGTATAAAACAAAAACAAATGAACAGACATCAATCAACGACAACCAACAAATTACAGGCAAAGCAATATTCAAACTCATAAGTCGAAGACAAAATGACAACGCCATGATGGCAAAAAACGGAAAATGACCAAAAGACAAACAAAAGTCTGTAAAACATAGCATAGAAACCTAAGATCTGAGCAACACGAACCACACCAACACCGGGAGTGGTATCATATGCGTCGAGTTGCTCGTGTAAGTACAAATTCGGTAATAAGGCGAAATGGTGAAGTCACATTTGAGCAAAAGAGGACGGGATTGTGGTTACAACAATTCGAACATATTCGTCGTGTAGGCACTAGAACAAGCATATACAGAATGTGCTTTTACGAGTGATTAACCCTCCCATTTAACCTGGAGCAGTAAAGATGTACTGTCAAACTATGTACTCTAGGCGCGTTCTAAATAATGTGTGGATACTAAAAGTTTCCATAAATCAGTTAAAGTACATTCAATCTTAGTCCCTCTCCTTAGAAAATGTAATAAAAACATTTGAATACTTTCACCTTTACACAAAATTTTCACATTTTTTTTCCTGTCTTAGATCTTAAGAATTCAGAACAGTCGTCTATTCTGTAAATTTATCGACTATTTCGGTATTACCAATTGTGGGATTGATTGTGGAAATGCATAGGATGATCCTTTTGGAGTTCGTGCGATTTCCCTTTGTTTTTTGTATTTACCTTTATTTGTATCTTGTTAATTGATTTATGATATTTTTCTTACTTTAAAGACAGATTGAACGAGCAAGTCCAATTTTGTTTCAATAAAAAAAGATTAGCAAACGTAGATAAAAATATAGTTTTTAAGAAGGGAAAAAAAATTTCAAACAGGTTTTAACATAAATTCCTTTCAACTAACATTCAACAATCTTAACCATCAAACAATGTTTCTTTTTCTCTATAACTACTCATTAATAGTACTTAAAAATATATATCAAACAAGATTTCTTTTTCTCACTTATTCTACATTGTGAATAATTAAATATATTTATTTCATATCTGTTAAGAATTAGCTTCTCTTATTGGATAACAAGGGGCCACATGACATTCTTTATTCTTCAGTAGAAAATTCCATCGGTCTTTAACAGAATAAAACGGACCAGAAAACCGGTCGTTAACGGACTTTTACATGCGGAATGGTTTCTCTGTTTAGAGTGATGTCTCTTTAATAAAGCGTAATCGAAGTTGTTGAATTGTTTACCATATGTTTTCGTTAATTATAGAATAACAGAAAACTTTATTTTGTATTCATATACTAAAAAATTGCACTTAAATGAATGGCAGTGACTTATAGTTATCACTATGACTTGTCTTCACTCTCTCCCTATAGAAATCGTACAATAATTCGAGTTTGCTTTGAACAGTTTGAATTTCCTCAATGAAATAAACATAATAGTTATTGAAGAACTGGTCATTATAGTGATATATGGACTGCCCGTAGACCAAGTCACATATCTGCAACTACTTCATATAAAAGAAGTTTAAATCCTCTGTGTTGACTTGTGTATCAAAAGTCAGTTAATTGACTGATGTTACGACCACCAAATGAACACTTTCAGTCCTATCAAAATGCCATTCATTTTGTTAAGAAACGGACTTCAATAAAACAGAGGCAGAAGATACCAGAGGGATATTCAAACCCATAAGTCGAAGACAAACTGACAAAGCCATGGCAAAAAAAACGAAAAATGACAAAATGAAAACTACAGTGTGCAAAAAACACATAAGAAAACTAAAGACTGAGCAGCAAGAACCCCATCGAAAACCGGGCGTGATCTCAGGTGATAAAGTTGCAATAGAGTCAGGAAAGGAAAGCAGACTCCTCTGAGCTTCTAGTTGATTGATTCATTTAAACAGAGGTGTGTTTCTCTGTTTTTTTAGATCTTGCTCAGTTTAGTTTATAGCTCTTTATTTATTTAGCTGTATTTTCATTATGAAGCAATGTACTATTTGCGATGTAATTATTTGTAATATGTATTGCTGTTTATCAATTAAAACAGACAATGTAGGTAATGCTTATGCTAGGATAGATTATTAACTTTCTTTTGTGCGATTATTGAGTTTCTTTGTAACGTAGAAAGTGCTGCTTGTTGTCATAATATAAATAATGTGTTGAATAAATGAATTCGATTTCAAATTTACTCTGTAGAGTATCTGTAAAGATGTATTTTCGTTAATATAAAACAATTCTAAAGACATCAACCTATATTTATATATATTGAAAAAGAGAAAATAACTTAATTAAGTCTGGGATATGTTTATTTGTTCAACATTTTAAAAACTGTTAAATTTTGAAACCACTGAAGGTAGACCATTTACCACCAGACATGTACGTTCCTGCCCTTTCAGTTTTGATGCACACCTTGTCTTTTGCTGCAAGATGTAGCAAAATACTTTGGGTCGCAGACGCATAACCTGAAGATAATCCTCTACCATCAAGATAGTTAGCAGCAATAATGTTGTCATTGTGCAGTAACTGTGTTGGGAAAAGTTTTGAATGGTAACTGAGAGTTGTCCAGGTAAAATAATAAAGACCTTCGTAAGGTGCAACAAACTGTCCAGTCGAAGCATCGTATCCAGAACCAGTGTTGGTAACTACCTTATCAAATATAACTGTGGATCCTTTATTCACATTACTAAGACTTTTTGAAGATTTAGCCAGAAATCCGACCGTTTTATGACCATCTGAAATAATATCAATTTTCATTTTAAAAATTTTGGTAATAAGAATGTCCCCCTTTTTAATATCTAATCATATAACAGATATGTGTAAAAGGAAAACACGTGCATATCAAACAGTTTGATACTCGGTATTTATTCAATAGTGATAATTCGAAATCTTGAAATATGTTGTCGTGTACTATTTCATTTCTGGATTTTTTTATTATTATTTATGTAAAATAGTAAATTATAAAGTCATGTTTTGTTTATCAACCGACTATCATCTAGATTTGACTTATTATATTACTGTAGTAAGGGCTCCATAGTTGAGACAATATTATATATCTGCGTATATGCACGGCCAAGGATTTGTAAGTAAGATCTTACTATACAAATCCTTGGTACGGCCATAACAATTCGTTCCGTATGAAATAACAACTAAATCGATGAAACGAGATAATGCAACTTTAGTATATGGGTATTGGGTTCAGTGCCATAAGAAAGTGTGTTACAAACCAACTTTGACCTTCAGAGTGAGTCTGTATGAACTATTGATAAATTATTCCCCTCTTAAACGTGATAACACACAAGAGCCAACACACAAGGCATCTTTTATCTATAATTTTTTATAGAATTACAACGTTTTGATATTTTCCATTGAAAGGAGTTTTTATTTAATAATATGTCTTTTGTCTGTTATTTTTTTTACAGAGATGTGTATTTCTTTCCAAGGGATGGAGAATTCAGAGTTAGTATATATGTAAAGCTATCCCATTCATACTTGTTTATATTTCATTGATACATATGATATTTTACAGGAGCATGTTTCACTACGACAGAGATACAAGGTATAAAAAATTCGGAATAATATACTGTATCGAATAATGCTCACAATAACTAAAAGCTAAATCAATATGTCCTTTTGATATATGAATCATGCCTTTCTAAAATTCTTATATGGGCGGGAGTTATACCAAATACGTTTCAAACAAAAGCGTTATAATTTTTAATAATAATTCTTGTTATTAAAATTTGCTGTTACAAAATTTTAGAAATTATTTTAAATTAAGGAATGTATCTCCCTCATGCGACGCTCTGATTCCTTGTCCGGCTTTGGCTATACTTTTTTTACCTTTTTTTTTATTATAGCTCCTCATCTTTTTAATAAGCTTTGGACTTTTAAATATTTTGGCCTCGAGCATCATTGAAGAAACATTTATTGTCGAAATGCGCATCTGGTACAGAAAAATTGGTACCGTTAATGTTATTATAGAAACAGGAACACACGATCTTGTGATGCCTGTTGTGCATACGGAGGTCAAGTACAGCCAAATAATAAAGAAAAATCATTCTAGTCTCTTTTTAAATAAAAATTAAGTCAAATGATATTTATCCCCTCTTTTCAAAACCAGATTCAATGATCTTAGAACAGAAACAACGCCAAAGGTCATTACATTTAGAGTTAATTTAAATCTCCAATTTCTAAATGAATCATCCGTTCTTATAAAAAAAAAGTCTGTTAAAAGAGATCTTTGTCAAAGTCATCGTTCATGTTGGCTGATACTTTTTTAATTTGGAAAGGTATTCTTCAAAGGCTCAGATACTATCATGCATGTAAAAGTGTAACCATTTGAAATTGTGATAAAACGACTCAAGGTAGATCGGGTGTCTTCTGCCATCTTGAATTGTAAAAAGCAGAAAACGATCGCTCTTGATCTTTAATATAAATGAAATTTTGAGAGAGGAATACAATTATTCTGTAAGATTTTTCATATAAAGAAGAAAATTACATGTTTTATCTGATCATTACAAGAAAAACAGAACATTTTTTGTTTAATTCCATTTTTTCAAGTTTGAACTTGACCATAGAAAAGGAGGTAATGCAACTAGTATAACTTTTATAAATGAGTGTACAGTTAATTTGCCTATTTTGGTTTGCAGATAGAATACGAGTCCTGTTGTTGTGTATTTATAACTGCATTTGGGTTCTTATATATATAACACAACTACTAAATAAACGTGACTGCTTCTATAACTACATTTTATTAAACTAAACTATTTCATAGATACATACATAGAAAATTATGAAAGATAGAAACCAGATGATATTTAATTGCCTTATTGTTTACAATGTCTGATTCTCTGCTGTAGGTTAAAAACTGCGTAGTATTTATAATCCGGTGATTTATGATAGAAGATAAAATAAACAGTCACATAAAATGTCAAAACACTATACCTGTGACCTCATTTGAAAATTTCTGAAAATACATTACAAGAACTGTCTTCTCATATTTCATTTAAAACTTCTATCGGTTAGTTTTCTATCTATTCGCAAAAAATGTTTTTAACATGTGTATTCTTTATAATATACAAAACTGAAAATTTGGCACAACCTGTAGCTTGTATAACCATGCTCCGAGACCCATGCTTTTTATCATATTTAAAAAAAAAAAAGCATCATATATATTACATTTTGGCAAAGTACTTTAAAAAAATGCTATCCTTTTTTTATTTAGACCCTAATCTACCTGAACGAAAAGCGGTTTTTTTTTATTTCTTATTCTTCGTTACAGTTGGGTATCTTATTTGAATCTGAATTGTTTTAATTATTATTTTCATTTTAAGGATAATATGTTTTAGTATGATATTTTAATTGTATATTTTTTAATCTAGATTAGCATATTTCACTCAGAATTCCTCCTAGAATGGAGTTAATTTCAACATGAACCTATGAATCAGATAATTCTTATGAAACTTATTTAGTAAAATTGACGTCACAGTGACGTTAGTATGTATCTAGGGTACGTTATGTGCTTTCTGTACAATATTTCGAGTTACATTTATTTTGAAACTAATTGTGATAAGTCTCCATACACCTAACTGAATTTCTTGCATCTCTAATTTCAACACGACAATCTAAACCTCGATCTCTTCTTTCAGTGTAATTTCCTCGAACTCTTCTTTCAGTGTAATTGCAACAGACGACCTATTTACATATGTCGTTCAAAAACAAATGCTCCGAATAATTCCAACATTCTGATGAATATAACTCCCTTACCTTCATATGGCCAAATGCCTATAATGTTTGCCAATTTTAAAACACGAGAAACAAATAATAAAACAAACAACGTTACTGGACTCTATTCAATCAAATGATTTAGAATATATATATAGTATCTTCTTGTACTTACGCATTTCTTTGGTATCACAATCACATCGCCCTTCTGTAGTCTCTACTAACTTAAGCTGATACTGTATGCTTTTCCACAAGTTGGCATTTTTAGAACAGGCTTTGTGAGCAGTGACTGATGAAAGGAGTATAAAACCCAGAGCAATTACTCTGAGCAGGCTGTAAAAAATAATATCATTACATCAGAGACAAATAATGCAATTGTTGTATTATATGTCTCTGATTACATGAACCTTATGAAATATTACATATATATGATGAACAAAACAAGTATCGACTTCTTGATAAATTATAACTAAATATCACTACACGACCCCAAACTGACAATAGATTGCAATCAATATTTGTGGTAAAAAATCATCAAGATGAAAAGTTTGTAAAATAAGGTACTTTAGATCTTAAGTAAATTATGTTTTAACTTATGCATTTTTGGGTCAATGCCACTATCGGGGAACGTCTCGTCCCAGCTGAGGGAATCACAAGTTATCGTTCATGTACTGACATGAAAATATCATTGACACGGTCATTTTCTTCATATTTGCTGTTAATACAAGTGTGGACACAGATCAGTGTGGATAGTATAATGAATGTTTGACAGTGTTTTCTGACAAAAAATGTTTCTATGGTTTTTTGCCATAGTGTTCTATGTTCCACAGTGACAGTCATCCATCAGACCAGTACTAAACACTCAAAATTTGCAGTGTTGGTTATTCAATATTTGGTTTTTCTGTTCAAGATTGTCATGGAGGAGACATTATTTGTACATGTGATATGGATTACCAAATGATTCTATTATTAACAGTGTTAAAATATGTTCCGCTACTTTGCTTTTCGATAAAAGCAAAAACTCAAAATTAGTAGAGGAACACATAAGTTGCAATTCTGCATTATATGATTTTAATATGCAAGATGGTTTATGAGAACCTATATGTATGTTCTTCACGTATCGTTGTATTTAATATGTCCGTTGTGGTGGTCATTTCTTACTTGGAACTGTAAATAAGTTAAAGATCATCCCAGTATCATAAGTGAAAGATTTTGTATAATTGTTCAAAATTGTTTCTTAGATGATGTCTAATAGTTCAAAGTGATGATAATACCTGGCATGCACATGGGGCTAGTTGCTGTTAATATAAGTAAACGTTAAACCACCAAGGTGTTTCTACCCCATGCATAATGAGATGGCCTTGGTTTGCATTGCTCTTTAACATTGTAGTTGAATATGCCGTTCCACCGGCTTTGATTCGAGCTCCCCTGATGATACTTTGGTAGACAAAACTCGAGTTTGGCTTGTTAAATTGTAAATCTGGTATCTTTTATGATTTTTATTGGGGAGTTCATTTGCAAAAAAGTTAAAGAATTTAAACCTATAAACTGTAAGGTAATATGAGCCTTCAAAATACATCGTTAGGAAAAGAATTATTACTTGAGTATCACTGTCAAATAATTTAAACATCTTGAACGTAAATAAGAGAATATGTTAAAAGAGAAGACTTCAGCCTCGGTCATATGAATTGGTATGTTACTGCATGGTCAGTTCAACCAGTCCAATAGCAACATAACATAATATTCGAACTCCTAAACGATTTAAGGAATAGAAATATTCATAAATCTAATAGTACTCGGTAAACCTTCATTTATTAAAAACCTGATTACTTTGACACAGATATGCCTTATTGGTTATGAAATCTGGTTACCTTTGGTGACAGAAACTATATAGACTTTATCACCAGGACATACTGTATTGATATTTCAAAAAAAGCTCCATGTAGTGGCTGTTCTTATTTAATCTAATGACATAACGTCTTAAAAACAAATCTATAAAAAAAAAGAATTTGTGGTATGATTACCAGTGAGACAACTCTCCGCCAGAGATCACTGAATGAAAACCAATACCGTATAGTCAGTTATAAAAGGCCCCGATATGAAAAACGTGAAAGAAATCAAACGAGAACACTAACGGCGTAATTTATAACAATACAACTCCCGAAAACAATTATTACAGACAAGTTTGTTTTAAAACATCTGTTTTAAACTCCGTACAAAAGCTGCACATGGCAGCAAAAATATATGCAGATGTATCGAAGGATTACTGGTTAGCTGAAGAGAATAACAGTCAGACTTACAACGATTTTCTAGACCAAATATAACAAAAGTTCAACTATTACTTATATTAACTAAGATACCGACATACGCTTTTAAAATAAGTATTCCTTTTATTAACATAAAAATGAAGTCAAGTTCATATGACCGATCAGATGGATATGAATTGTTATTATCAATTTTGGTTCTTTCTCCCTGTCGATACTTCTACTTTAGCATTGCACATAATCATGACCATGTGCTTTTTATCGACTGGTTATGATGTTTTACAATAGTTCCGTTGGAGCTGTACTTATTGACATTTTAGTCTTGGAGAACGTGGTTCGTTCATTAGTTGAAATAAAGCTTTGAACTAGCTTACAGTAACTGAGAGAACTCCAAGTCCTGTACTTTGCGTCTTTTGTTTTTTTTATATTTTGTTTGTTTTTTTTTTTTTTTTTGGGGGGGGGGGGGGGGAGGCTTAGAACCGATCTGATGAGTCAAGCCCTTTCCAACTGATTTCTACTGTGTTTCCTTATTTTACGTTTTTACACCAGTGTCCGAGTTTAAGGGAGTGTTAAGCGTTTAAAAACATGTTCAATCATTCTTTCCTCTTTTGAATGTTAAACCTTGCATACTTTACTGTAACGGTTTCGCTCATTGTTGAAGACCGTACGATGAACTGTTTTTGCTGAAATCTTTGTCCTTTGGTCCATGGATAGTTGATTCATTGGCAATCTTCAACATCTTCCTATGTTTTAGAAATGTACATATCGTTTATTTTATAGAACAAATATAGTTGTACTTTAATCAATAACTGAAAAAAGACCTCAGCACGAAAACTTATCATTGACTTTTATAAGTCAATGAACCTTAGAGAAATGTCTAAAACTTTACAATTGATGTATATGGTCATATATAATATGCAAGACGGAAATCAGCAATATATCAAACATTGATTGCCTAGAGATAATCACACATTGGCGACATTCGATGCCAGTGAGATTTAATAAGAAGCCAATTTTCTCACCTCGGTACTCTTGTGACAGGGCTATACCAAACATGCCGCAAACTACTAATTTTCACTTTTGTTTTACCTTACAGCTAGCTAGCTTTGTGCTGCTTTTCACTTCTGAATGTTTTTCTTCTTTGCAACCTTATAAATACTGCTATCTTTTTTTATGTATTATTGTCTTATTAAATCAGCTGGTCAGAAATCATTTTTTCAGTATTGATTTCGAAATTGACTTTTAGTTTATGATAATTTACAAAAGTTGTTTTCTTACCTCATGGTTTCTCTCTGGTACTTTGGTATTTAGAACTGATTCTGAAAGTTTGTTTTGACATGTTATATTTCTAAGTAATTTTATAATGTCAACAGGTAATATGATATTCAGATTCAGACATGTAAAAATGTCATTAACGATATTCAATCCTTGGTGAAGTTCTTCCTTCTAGCTTTCTTGGAAATAACGATTCCTAGACTTTGTGTTTCAATCTTTACTGAATTACAGCCCTTGGACATGGAAAAATTCTTAAGAAATATGATTTTATCTTTTATATTTTGAAAAAAAAAACATTTGCTTTCTGTGGCAGTAGATATTTTTATCTTGCAGAAATTCTTGATGAGGCATGCTCATATATATAATGTAAGATACTTTATCACATCTATTGAAGTGTTTGACATGTCATCACTTCCCGTGGTCATTTAAACCTTACTTCATGGCATGGGCTTCTGACTGTTAATAAAAACATAATTGTGGTCCTCCATATTTTGTTTTCATGATGTTTGTATGGTCAATGTGCAATGTCACTAAACTTTACTCCATATCTCCTTTGTATATACAGCAATGGGTTTATCCATTCTTACATTTGAACACTTGTAAAACCATTCATATGGAATTTAAATGCTTTTCGTGAAAACATTTATTCCATTCCATGACATCATTAATTTATGGCAAAGCACAATTGGAATTGTTGATAAAGTAAATTTCAAAACCAGTGGACTTCAAAAAATGTATGGATCTTATGATACATGTACATTTTGCTCTTCCAGTTTTCACACATTTGTGTTACAAGGGAATAACACTGTAAAAATTCGTAAGGGGTTCAGCTGAACCCTGTGTCTCACCTACTATTGCTGCTGTCAGTGTAAAAGTGTAATGTTGACTTAAAAAGTGAGTCCAATTATCAGTAAAATACAGAATTTTTTAAAAAATCAAACTTTTTCTATAGATGCTATTTCTTTGTCTTGAAGATTAGCTTCTGTCTAAGTTTCATAACAATCCATGAAGGTTTACAAATTTATCAAAAAAATGTAATCCCAGACTGTTTGTAAATGTTAACTGTAAAAAAACTAAGTCCACCTATCAGAAAATCAGAAAAATACTGAAAATGAAATTATATTTTCAAAAGTTTGCTTCAGACATTATCTCTTCATCATACAAAAGCTTGTGCCAAAGTTTCATAAAATTCTATAAATGTTTGATAAAGTAATTGATGTGTAACAAACTTTAACCCCAGACTGTACCTACTTGTTAACTGTAAAAAAAAATAAGTCCATTAATCAGTAAAATAAATATGGAAAAATGAAAATAAATATTTTCAAAATATTGCTCTGGATACTGTATTTTGGTCATAAACAAGCTTCTGTCCAAATTTCATAAAATTCCATGAAGGTTTGACAAAGTTATTGATGACAGAAACACTTTAACCACAGACTGAACCTAAATGTTGACTCCGACACGGACAGAATCTAGGATCGCTATGTTTCCCTATATAAATGTTGCAGGCTCCACGAAAATGACTTACATTAGTTCCTGTAACTTGAGAATATGAGAAAAGAATAAAAAATAATAATTTATAAAGCAATATTTTTTATTTATGTATAGGTACATACTTTATATTATTATTATTTAACACTGCATTAAACAAAATGACTTTCATTCTACAAGATTATTTTACTCAATAAACTGTGTAGAAAACCAAGCAAAAATGTTAAATAAACCAAACTATAGCTTGACAAAAATAAAATGTGTAATTCCCATTCTACATTATTCTGTCTATCTTCTGGATTAAACAATTAAAACCAACAATAATTGTGTCACCATGTGGGTTTGTTTATTACTTGAACAATTCCAATCATTAAATGATTAAACATGACACAATCATACATACAAGGACGTATATTATGTTAGTTATAAATCCTTGATACATATAATCAATATATTGCAAAATGTTCAAATGGCACTTAAGACCTTCTGTGTTTTTATCATTGTGAAAGTTGTAACAGGATAGAAGTCACAAAAATAAAATTTTGCATTTAAAATTTTGAGAGCATTAAGTGTAAGCAGCATTTCATGAAATCCCAATATACGATCTTACATTTGCATCCATTGTTCAACATTCACAATAATAAATGAGCACACACAAATTTTGAATTAGCAGTACTAAATATTACTGTATTCCATCTCCCAATTTCTTTTACATTGTTCGTTTGAATTAGTAACCTGCTACTGGTCAGTAAGTGAAACTTGCTTTTTTCTAATTTTCTTTTATGAAAATGCAATGACTTTCCATACTTTAACATATTTCTATTTTCTGTCTTAAATTTTTTAAAGGAATTATGTGTATGATACATACTGGATCTAGGTTGTAATTAATATGTTAACCATATATAACACAATAGATATATGACATACTCATTCGCTTTTTGGAAATAAAGCTTAAATGATTAAAAGGAGATGTGAGGTATACATTTTATGTAAATGAGACAGCAACCAAATGTTACAAAAAAAACCACAACATATGGTTTCCACAATAGACAAGTGGTTTAAAAAATATGTTAAACATTAAATTGGCCCAGGTCTAGAAAACTTGTGAATAAATTTAACCCACTCACAAATATCTACCATCATAATTAATAAATACAATACAGTTCTCTTGCTTTATCAAGTTTATATACAATTGTAAAATCAGTATACAAGGCTTTAACAAACAATTAAATGAATGTGAATGAAAGTAATGATACCACATAAGAAAATATATATTTATTCTTAGATAGGAATGGGGTCCAAGTGCAGTCATCCTAAAGACGGAACCTCCATGACAGGTGGCATATGTTTGGCTGTCTTTGAATCATTCAAAGAAAAGAAAAACAAATCTTGATAACACTTATAGTTGTTAAGTGTCAAAAGAGTGAAATTACAGGATTTCATTCACATGTGAAATTATGGGTTTTTATATCTTACTGTGAAATCACGATCTTCATTAATTGTGACCAATGTTATATCAAATATATAATCAAAGTATGAATGTCATGTGAAACAGATCTCTTAGATCATACAAAGCTAGTCAATCTCACTTGGGCAACAATAATTTACAATAGCTATCATATTACAATAAATTACAATATAAAAAAATTATTCAATTTCATATTTAGCTGATGATTTACAAAAGCTGATAGCAGATTTTATGTTTTCTAGAGATCCTCCTGCTGTGAAGAAAGCTATAACACCCATGGCTAACATGACAAAATATGCTGGTAAAATACTGGCTAGATATAGTGGTTCTGCACGATTTACTGTTCTCTGATTAAGTAACGTCTGAAAAACAAATATATATATATATATATAGCTGACCGTTAACATTTCAAATCATGGATGTGTAAATACTGAAAGAGGTCAATGAAAGTATTTACCTCATGGATTTCAATAGCCAAGGATCTTGAAAAATATATATGATTAAAAGAGATTTGGGGTAAACGTTACTGAGACAGAAAACCCAAAACACAAAAAATCAAGACATCTAATGGTCAACATATGGTCTTCAACTATAAACTAACATCTAAACAATATGTCAACCTCTTATATTGTTCCAAGTGTTACAAGTTTTTTTTTTTATTAAATTAACAGAGACTAACAAAATTCTGCCCTCAACCACAAATCTTCTAAATAGCAAAAACACATTTAGATATAATTATAGGTTTTATGTCATCATTGTTCAACTGCAGGTATATTGGTAAATTGTAATACAGAAGTAACAGCTATATCATATCACGTTCATTTATCAAAATCAATAATTATATTTTTTTTTATTGCATTAGTATCTTTTTTCTTCTTCAAACAAACCAATATCAGAATTAAGTATCTGGACTATGTTTCTTAAAACATTAAATTAGTGAATAAATTTTATCCAAAAATTTTCACTGGTACATCTGAGCAAGGTTAATCCAATGTGTAAATGTTTTGAGCAATAAAGTCCAGATGCATTTTTTGCAACTTACCAAGCATGAGACCAGCATATGTGTAGCTACTACAAGGGCTACCATGTAGTATTTCTTTTTGTCCAAGGCATTGAAAAATATAACTCCCCAAAATATGTGCAGAAATATAAAGCACAGCGTCAGAAAAGCTGAAATTAAAAATAAGACATTAGTTCATATGATTTTGAAAGTAACTTTTTCACAAATAGAAGAGAATCCAAGTACCAACAGAGTAACATATAAATTCTATAAGACTTCCTAATAATACAATAATTGGACTCCCAAAATGGCAAACATAGTAAAATCTTCAAAGTCTTTCAAATTCAAAGTCTAATGCTTAAAGAATAGATGATCTATTCTGGTCATGTTGTGCTGAAATGTCATTGTTATTTAACCACAATGTAATAACGATGTGATAATATGGACATATTTGACCCAAAATTGTCATTTTATACAAATAGATTCTTATTTTTTTATTTACTCCTAATAATGAGCAATTCCCATCAATATTTGAATAACATCAACATGTTTGTACAAGACATCTTGTGGTAAAATATCCTTGCAATTAAAGGTATTGTTCATATCTAAATATTCAACAAAAGCTGTGAGCACGGCAATATTGGCTTTTTCTTCTTCATTTAATGCAAAAATTTTAATGGCCTGAACCAAATAAACAAGGCAATATCAAAATATATATTATTAAATAATTTTCTAGATATCTGATATTGAATATTTAGTAAGCTTTAATACAAGGCTTTATTACATAATCAATTTCCAGCCCTTTATCCCTGTCATCCCTTCTCGCAGAACCTACTTATTGTATTAATTGTTAATAATTTCCCATTCTGAATATGCATGAAATAATTGCCAATGGGCATTAACCAAGAAACGATCAATCAATCAAACAAAACCACAAAATTGGCAACTGCACATGTAATGACATTCATTTCTAGTCAGGTTAAAAAATAAAACACTTGAAAGGTCAAGGTCATTGTTAAACTTTTAAATAAAACTATCACAACAAAGACATGGGTTTGTCATGTGTATAGTGTACTTAAGTTATAGATAAACTAAAACTATATCAGTAACCATAACTCAACGAAGATCCAGGATGTTCTCTTGGCAACTCTTGTCTGTATTACTGAGACTATCTCTGATGATATTATAGATCACATGTATACATGAGCATTAAACAGAAACAAAACCTTTAACTGATAGTTCTCTTGAAGAAACAATGTGTAAATATATATATAAAGATGTGATGTACTAATAAAAGACAATTACATACCTGTTGCAACAAAAAAGTACTTAGAGTCTCCATGGATACCAATAGTGCCAGGTCCTACCATATCTGCTAAAACATTGATTATAGAGAATGCTCCACATATTATTCCATAGCCAAAACCTGAAACTATACATTCAAATTGGAATGTCATATCGGTCAATCAATGAAAAGGATCATTATGCAAGAAATAGGATTTTTACATGTATTTCCATTTATATTTCTGTATATTTTATATATCTCTTTATTGGATTTTTTCGAGCGTGAAAGTGTTAATAGCCCTGCATAAATCCTATCCCTCTATCTTCTGTTTCCCTTTTTTGATGATGTTTTGATATAACTCATGGGATTAAAAAATATGTATCTGTGAGGATAATTGATTTTGTGGTTTTAAATAACAAATTCTGCATGCAATTGTACAGAAAATATGTATTTTGTTGATCACTTAAATTCTGGTTTTCTCTCCATACAAGAAATCCATGAAAATAAGTATGCCATGAACAATAATGAATCACAGTATCTGCTTTTTATGAACATTCGTACTCTTATAATTTCTTACCATATGCCATAATATGCTTGTTTGTAATGTCACGAGGGGCAACATGAAGCTCTGGTCCCTCTGTCTGATTAACTTTCTGTAAACCTTCGTCTGCTTTCCTGAAATTAACATTTTCTTTATGAATTCTTTTAACTAAATGTTGGTTATGTACTGTTTAGGTTGTCATTGTATTTTTGTTAGCATGTTTGAAACTGTATTATCGTATTTAGTGAATGATTATATTACAGTAAGTAAATTTTAATGATAAGATGCAAATATGATGTTCAATACAATGAGACTGGTTAAAACCAATGTTATTTTTGTTACTACCAAGTCAGGTTTCATATTCACACATCTAGATATGTTGCTCATGAAAATGTTGTTTTTTGATATTTGATTATTGGTACTTGGTTCAGATTTTTGTGTTGCTCTGAAGTTTTTTTTTATGTATTAATGCTATTTGCATGTTTTCCAAAAATCAAACAGCATAAAGCATAAAATTACCTCAACAATTTATAGAAGAAAAATCTAAATATTTCCTGGAAAATCACAGAGAATACAAGACCAAATGCTAACTCTTCTCTTAAAGGTACAACAGCAAACCATAATATTGATGATAACAATAATGACAGCAGCCAGAAAAATCCACTGAAAAAGAAAGAAAGAAGTTTTAAACATTAAAAACTTATGCTAAATTTAATATAAATGTTTATTTTTTTAAATATATAGATTTTCTCCATCAAAATAATTAACTGAATATTTATCAATGAACAGTATTTCACGCTTGTACAGGTACATGTAGTTACACCTTCTGTACTACAGAAAATTACCAACTGTTTCCATAAGGATTGTATGAAGTATTCTTTACAATTGCATTAACTCACTCACCAAGGCTGCCTCTGTAGTGGCACTTAAATAAAATTAAATCAAAGCAGCTGCTCCACAATTACATGTAGTAATGAATAACGTCAAAGCAGCTTCTCAACAATTACATGCAGCAATGAGTAACATCAAAGCAGCTTCTCAACAATATAAAATTCGTAAGGGTTCCACGGAACCCAGTGTCTCACCTACTTTTTCTGTTAATCGCAGGCTCAACAAAAATGAGGAAGTAAATCAATAAAAATATTCCTCTTGATACTATCTTTTGATTGTAAGAAGCTTCTGTCCAAGTTTGGTAAAATTCCAGGATAGTTTATGAATCTAATAAATGTTTAAAAACTTTAACTGCAGACTGAATGTAATGTTAACTGGAAGAAAACAAAATTTTCTTCTAGATACTAGCATTTGATCATAAACAAGCTTCTGTCCAAGTTTGGTACAAATCCAAAATAGTATAAGAAAGTTATTAAAATTTTAAAAACTTTAACCACAAAGTGAATATGTTGTTTCCTGGCAGAAAATCTAAGTCCATTTAAAAGTAAAATACTGAAAAAATAGATTTATTTTTTTACAAAATATCCTTCTAGATACTAGCTTTTGATCATAAACAAGCTTCTGTCCAAGTTTGGTACAAATCCAAAATAGTATAAGAAAGTTATTAAAATTTTAAAAACTTTAACCACAAAGTGAATATGTTGTTTCCTGGCAGAAAATCTAAGTCCATTTAAAAGTAAAATACTGAAAAAATAGATTTATTTTTTTACAAAATGTCCTTCTAGATACTAGCTTTTGATCATAAACAAGCTTCTGTCCAAGTTTGGTACAAATCCAAAATAGTATAAGAAAGTTATTAAAATTTTAAAAACTTTAACCACAGAGTGAATGTGTTGTTTCCTGGCCGAAAATCTAAGTCCATTTAAAAGTAAAATAAGGAAAAAATGGATTTATTTTTTTACAAAATTTACTTCTAGATACTATCTTATGATCATAAACAAGCTTCTGTCCAAGTTTGGTACAAACCCAGGATAGTTTAAGAAAGTTATTAAAATTTTAAAAACTTTAACCACAGAGTGAATGTAATATTTACCGGCAGAAAAACTAAGTCCATATATAAGTAAAATACGGAAAAAATGGAATTTTATTTTTACAAAATTTACTTCTGGATACTATCTTATGATCATAAACACGCTTCTGTCCAAGTTTGGTAGAAATCCAGGATAGTTTAAGAAAGTTATTAAAATTTCAAAAACTTTAACCACAGAGTGAATATTTGTGGATGCCGCCGACGACAACGCCGACGACGACGCCGACGGAATGTAGGATCGCTATGTCTCGCTTTTTCGACTAAAGTCGAAGGCTCGATAAAAATGTTGCAATGAGTAACGTCAAAGCAGCTTCTCAACAATTACATGCAGCAATGAGTAAAGTCAGAGCAGCTTCTCAACAATTACATGCAGCAATGAGTAACATCAAAGCAGCTTCTCAACAATTACATGCAGCAATGAGTAAAGTCAAAGCAGCTTCTCAACAATAAAATGTTGCAATGAGTAACGTCAAAGCAGCTTCTCAACATTAACATGCAGCAATGAGTAATGTCAAAGCAGCTTCTCAACAATTACATGCAGCAATGAGTAGCATCAAAGCAGCTTCTCAACAATCACATGCAGTAATGAGTAGCATCAACGCATCTTCTCAACAATAAAATGTAGCAATGAGTAACGTAAAAGCAGCTTCTCAACAATTACATGCAGCAATGAGTAACGTCAAAGCAGCTTCTCAACAATTACATGTAGCAATGAGTAGCATCAAAGCAGCTTCTCAACAATCACATGCAGCAATGAGTAGCATCAAAGCACTTCTCAACAATTACATGCAGCAATGAGTAAAGTCAAAACAGCTTCTCAACAATTACATGCAGCAATGAGTAACGTCAAAGCAGCTTCTCAACAATTACATGCAGCAATAAATAGCATCAAAGCAACATCTCAACAATAACATGCAGCAATGAGTAGTGTCAAAGCAACATCTCAACAATTACATGCAGCAATGACTAACTTCAAAGCAGCTTCTCAACAATTACATGCAGCAATGAGTAACGTCAAAGCAGCTTCTCAACAATTACATGCAGCAATGAGTAACGTCAAAGCAGCTTCTCAACAATTACATACAGCAATGAGTAACGTCAAAGCAGTTTCTCAACAATTACATGCAGCAATGAGTAACATCAAAGCAGCTTCTCAACAATTACATGCAGCCATGAGTAGCGTCAAAGCAGCTTCTCAACAATTACATGCGGTAATGAGTAAAGTCAAAGCAGCTTCTCAATAATTACATGCAGCAATGAGTAAAGTCAAAGCAGCTTCTCAACAATTACATGCAGCAATGAGTAACATCAAAGCAGCTTCTCATCAATAACTGCAGCAATGGGTAATGTCAGAACAGTTGCTCAACAATAACATGTAAAAGTAGCAAGAGGGTTTTCAGAGCATCTGCTCAACAATTATAGGTAGCAATGAGTAACTTAAGAGCAGATGCACAACAATTACATGTAGCAATAAGTAACATCAGAGCAGCTGCTCAAAAATTTCATGTAGCAATTAAAGAGCCTTTATAAGTGAACAAGCTCACTTAACACACTCCCCCATATAAAGGAGAAAAGCTTATAGTGGCCTGCTAGCAGTTTTTTTCTGTTGACATATAGGTATGATTCTTTTGTGTCGATTTTAATTCAGAGGAACATTTTCTGACAAAAATCTTTTTAGTAAATATGACCTTGACTTTATAATTAGACCTAGTGATTTCGAAATCAACAGGGGTTTTCCTCTCAATCACATAAAGCAGTATTCCTGCAATCCCATTTAAAGTATTTAATTTAGAATCTAGAAACCACTTTCCTATTCAAATTTAGGTCTATTTTCAGTAACATTAATCTTGACCTTTCACACAGTGACCTAAAAATAGGGATCTTCCTTTACCTTATATCCAAGTGAGGATGCAATCCAATATAAAGTATTTGATTAAGCTAAGCATCTGAAAACCAAGAAAACCGAGGGACTGATGGACATACAGGTCAAAAACTACAGACCCTTGCTACTTTTTGATATTTACTGAAACTGGTTTTTAGGCAAGCACCATTTAACATGTTTAAAGGATTTAACTTTGATCAACATTTAATATGTATACATTATTCATTTAAATTCAATATGCTTTAAAATGTTTATGTACTCTGGTTCTCTCATCCTATTTACATAAACCAGTTCAATTTTGTCCCCCTAAAATCTAGTAAAACATAAATGTATCAGCTACTTAAGCCATAATAGTAACAGGAATGAATGGACTGGGATTAATGCATTTTACAATGCAAATATATCTGTCATGTCTGTAGGTATATGTACATGTTAAAATCGAGGCTTCCAAAACGGTCATATATGCCGGACATTTGTATAATGTCCGGTAAAAGTCCGGCTGGGCAAAGCATGAAACGGTCATCTACTTTTTAGTTTTCAAGGCTTTAAGAGACGGTCATTTTAACATAATTCGCGATCTTTTTGACCCAACGTTTTGCCTTTAACAGCCACACATTTCCGGTCATAAAAGTGACATGATCATTAAGTACTATCAAAACAACCCCTACTTTAATACCTTCTCATTTTAATCAAGGCTAATTAGTTGTCAAACAGCTGAAATTTACCTGTTCAGGTGACAGGTAAACTATTTTAAACCGGACATTGATCGGTCTATTCAAAGTTATTTTCTTACATTTCAGCGGTTTGCATCTAATTAATTTAGTCAAAGATTTAAATTATCAGAAATACGTTTACAAATATGATTTGATGAAAAAATTAAAAAGGTGAAAATGAAAAATCGTCATAACCACGTTGTTTGAACCTAGAGACATGTCTCTGTTTGAACTAGTACACGTGTGCGCATGTGCACAGGTGTGAGATTTAATTATGCATCCTAATTTCTTAAAATAAAAATGCTGAAATTGTCATTGATACCTTTATCTCACGTTTATTTCGAATATTTTCTTGAAGAAATAACGTAGAAAGAGCTACTTCCACTCATTCACGCTTTGCAAACGTACACGGAATTTACGTATCTGTCTCTGGTCCATTTTTTACCATTGTCAAGAAAAAACCCGGTATAAAAACGAAAGTAAAGTTTTTGACAACGTTATTTTGCGCAAATAAAGAGTCTAAGGCAGATATAAGTACGCTGATGTTGCACACTTCGAATGATGCACTGCCAATTTAACAGTTTAGTTCAGAACTTCGAATTTGAATCAAAGAAAGTTTAATATCTTTTTTTTTAATGTCAATCATTGGGATGGCCAACTCGGCAACTGATTACCATAATTGCCTTTTGTTTATTTAGTCTTAAGGGATTAAAATCGGGATAATATATAAAATGTCCGGCTGGCTAAAAATAATTTTGGAAGCCCTGGTTAAAATACATGCTTTTTTTACACTAAAAAAATATAAAAAGTTTAAACCTTACCTCGCAATAAGTACAATTATTCTGAGTGGATCATGCATTATTGTGAACACAAATAATCCAAAAGGAGGTCCAAAAGCTATGAAGGTACAACCAAAAAATTCCATCATCGTCATCTTGGAGGGTTGAACTTTTATTTCAGTACCTGTAAAAAAAAGTGTGATGCTGTTCTTAATTTGATCTATAACTTGGCATGATAAACACTACATTGTGTAGTCATCAATCTTTCAAACTACATAACCTAGCTAATGGTGCTATACAGATAGCAAGACTGCAGCAGAACTTCATCACTGGTATTTACATATGTTACCACTGCTTTCTAAGAAATTGATCTAATAAGAATCCAGTCACTCAAGCAAGAAATGTTTAACTAATTTTCTGTGACTTTTGTTCTTTACTACAAAGTACATGTAACTTCATAATAGTGGTAAAACTATATTAACACATGAATGAGTTGATTGTTTTATAATTATTTGAACTATGGATTAATTTGGCTTTAATACTGTGTTATTTGTACAGAATGAATTTATATGATGCCAGACAAAATTATTTTAAATAAGACAAATTTTATGCATGTCTATTTTTATAAGCTGCTGTTAAAGTCAAAACTGTAAATGTACTTCAGGATTCTCACTAAGGCGAGTCCATGAGTCCTGGACTCATGAAAATCTGTCTGGACTCATCATTTTCAAAACTGGTGAGTCCAAAGAATCATTAAGGTTGTAAAATGTTGCATCAACAAAGCACATTTATCACAATTTTATAAAAGAAAATTAAAATCTGATGTCATTTCCTTGCTCTATTTTGTCATGGAGACCGAAATAATAAATTATTACATGTAGCAAAATATTCTTCTCAATGTTGGATTGCCATGGGTGAAAATTATGAGTCCCTGGACCCGCCTTCAAAAATCCTTAGTGAGAACCCTGGTACCTTTTAATTATGATTATAGAAATCTCAATTAAACTCTGATAAAGTGGTTGAATAGATAAGATTTTGAAGTGAAAGGATGTGTTTCTGTGAGCTCCTGATTGATAATCACCATGGCTTTACTAAATAGTTTTACTGTTGTTAAATCACTGTTTAATTCTTTTAATGCAACTGTACTTTTTAATGAAAGTAGTGAAAGTAGTGAATTAATTATACCTGATCAAGTTTTAGAAAATGAAAGTATTTCATTGAATTTATCAGCTGAAAATGTACCACACTTTTTGCAAATATCTCCAAAGAAACATAGTGTAACTATTCATGTCTCATCACATATGATACAGGATGTTCAAAGAATTTTGGATAATGATTTAAATTTTATAAGGAGTCACTTTCAGTATGGAAATATATACAAAACTGTGAACAATTCAGTGACAGTAACACTATATGTAAGTACTGGAACAATTAATGTGCAAGGTCGCAATGTTTTTACTTGGATTGATACTTTTGTTGTTAAATGTGAATTACTTGAAAAGGAAATTATTTCATCTCAACCAAGGTCATCAACACAGGTTGAATTTATTCAAGACATTTTCAATAGCTCAATAGATTCAAATGTAGAAAACTCACAAATATCTGAAAATGAAAATCAAGAGGAGAGCCTCAATCTCCAAAATGATTCAATAACTGAACTGAAATCAAATTATATCAGTACCAACTCTATAAACGAAGGCAAAAGTAGGGAGGTCTTAATTAATATCATTAAACATCTTAAATCTGAACTAGTACAGTGAGCAATCAAGACAAACTGAGTTTTCAGCTGTTTCTGTTGAGTGCCAAACATCACAATATGTCAACACTTGTGATGCATCAACTCAGACAAGACCTATTCCAGCTCCAAGACTTTCCAAGTTGAAACTCACAGAAGATCAATGCCCACCTGTCCTCGAACCAAAATCCCGACATAAAATCTCAAATCCAAATCCAAAAACTATTAACAACCATAGTTCAGAGAAGGTTAAAAAATCAGGTGACAAAAATTTAATCATTAGATCGTCAATACTTAAAGGGATTTGAACTTCTGGCCTATAAAAGACCCACATAAGAACATTCAGAGGGGCACAAATTGACAGGATATCAAAGGAAATCGTGAATATGGACCTGAAAGCATATAAGAATATTATTCTTCAAGTTGGTGGAAATGACATAAGTAGTGGAAAATCCTTGAAAGATTTTGAAATGGATTATGAAAGTTTGCTTCTAGCAGCTCGTACTTGTAGTAACTCTGACTGTAACATCATAGTCTCAGGACTACCTCCCAGGAATGATGTAGATGTTTACAGGGCAAATGTGGTTTTAGAGAGATTATGTCAACACCTTGGACTGGTTTTTATAAGACAGTATGAAATGTATATGGCCCGAGAACACAGTTATTTCGTAGTGCATTTCTTTTAGACAATAAATTCAAATTAAAAAAATTGCACCTGCTCTATCTCAAAAAGATTTTTACAGTGTAGTGTACTACTATTGATACAAATAATATCAAAATTATAGAAACTTCTACCAGCTCTAACTCAAAATATTGACAATTCTGTGTTAAGGGGGGCTAAAATTCAGTTTGACAGCTTCAGACATTCTAATTTTTGACCTTTTTTAACTGGACCAAATCACTACTTAACATAAAGATTCAGCACCCAAATTTTTTTAACATGTAATTTCATCCCCTTACTTAATATTTCATGCATAAAATATCAAGAAATAAATTGGGAAAGTGTATCAAAAAAAAATGCAAGTTATACACTGTTCACACTAGGGACTATATTTGTAGACAACGAAAACCAAAGGACGATAACTGTGTCCTTGGACCTAATAGGATAGAAAGACTTGACCAATTTTAATAAAACTTTGCATGACCTAAGCTTAGGCAATTATAAGATAGTTGGCCAAGTTTCATGGCCATAGGATATATATTATAGAAACTAGGGCCATTTTAATATTGAAATTTGGTGGTTTATTTTTGACGTTTAAATCAAATATTTTCAACTGTCAAGATTTTGGCCTAAAAAATTTAAATATTGCAAAAATTTGCTTTTAAAATACTCTTGAATTTAATATAATAAGTATTAAAAGCAACGGAACACTCATTTGATTTATCAGATTTATTACAGTTATTCAAAAGTCAAATTTATATGAGCCTGTGCCTGAAAATAGAGATTTTTGAATTAAGGGAAGCCTTACATAAACATGCATTTTTTTCAACCAATTTGAAGTTTTTGAAGTTTTTTAACCATACATTATTCTTCCATATATATTAAATGTACTTTAAATGTAAAGAAAAGTTACAAAAAGCATACCACATGAGTATAAAATGGTCTTAGGCCATGTAAGACTGAGAATTATTTAGAGTCGATTTAGGCCGTAGCCCATATTTACATATAAAAATGCACACAGAGGCTATAAGAAATTGAAATTTGTTACTTTTTGCTCATTTCTATGCTAAGATGTCATGATACAAGAAGTCTAATTGCAAAAGGACTCTTGAATTCAACTTTTTTTTGCAGACAGTATGGTCTGATGACCAGTTTTTCACTTTTCAATGGAAAACTTGCATGTAGTTTTAGTCTCATTTGGCATATATTTGAACCACTTACTATCCTAAAGAAGAAAATTATGATAGCATATGAAATGAATAGGGTGTACTGATCATTGTAAAGTGGTTTTTTTTACAGATTTAGTGAAATATTTGTGATGGACTACAGATTTTATGTACAAAGCTCTTCACATTTCACATACATCAAACAGGCCGTTTAACCAGGGACATAAATACAAATATTCTGCACATTTTTTCTGTGATAATCTACTTTTCTCTAGATTCCGAGTTCACAAATGGTTAATTAAATTTGATTTAAGCATAGAAACACAAATATCAGGAACATAAAAAGCTGTCAGATAGAAAGTCAGCATGGCTCTTAGGCATAAAATGGAAACTGCTTTAAAATGCCTATTTTAGCCGTATAATGCCAAAATGGGACATTTTAACAGAATTTCTGTCAAACAAAGATGTAAATCCTTTACTTTTATTGAGTTTGACAAATTGAAACCAGCAAACTATTCAGGAAAGTTGCCAAAGTACAGAATCTACATTTACGGAATTCATCTCTTAGGCCAGAGAACACAGTTATTTCGTAGTGCATTTCTTTTAGACAATAAATTCAAATTAAAAAAATCGCACCTGCTCTATCTCAAAAAGATTTTTACAGTGTAGTGTACTACTATTGATACAAATAATATCAAAATTATAGAAACTTCTACCAGCTCTAACTCAAAATATTGACAATTCTGTGTTAAGGGGGGCTAAAATTCAGTTTGACAGCTTCAGACATTCTAATTTTTGACCTTTTTTAACTGGACCAAATCACTACTTAACATAAAGATTCAGCACCCAAATTTTTTTAACATGTAATTTCATCCCCTTACTTAATATTTCATGCATAAAATATCAAGAAATAAATTGGGAAAGTGTATCAAAAAAAAATGCAAGTTATACACTGTTCACACTAGGGACTATATTTGTAGACAACGAAAACCAAAGGACGATAACTGTGTCCTTGGACCATATGAGTGACAGCTTCAATCAAAACAAACATTTCTATGTTCATGATGGTATTCATTTCAATTCAAGAGGAACATCAAGATACATCAGAACAATAGATAACATAATAGGAATAATCAATTCACATGATGACTGTGAGAACTGTGGTGAACTTAACCATAAAACATCCTTCTGTAGATTTAATATGAAAATTAAATGCTTCAAGTGTAATAGGTATGGCCACAATTTAAAATTGTGTACTGCTTGAAAAAATGGCAAAGAAGAAAATGCCAATTTTACATCTGTTTCAAACAAATTTGATGTACTGACAATATTATGTTCTGAATGCAATTTATTTCCATGCATGTGTAAATTATTTTCTTTGTCACAAGGGCTTCAGATTTCTGAGATAAAGAAAACTAGAAACACTAGAAAAACAATCAAAGAAAAGAATGAGAGTCATTTCTCACTTGACACAACCCAGGAAATGTCTACTGTCAAACTTTATAGTACTAATGATGGGTTGATTAGTTCTGATAATTTTAACACTGAATCTCAGACATCTGAACAGGATACATTACTTGGTATTAAACAGCATGATACAAACTGTGTAATGTTTGATGATGAGTCTAATGTAGATAATTTATTGTTACCTCTCCCTCAGGTCAGTCTAATGATTGATGTGAAATTATCCTATGTCTCTGTATTTACTTTAGCAATTATTGTTTGTATAAATTATAATTATCTAATCAATTTAGAAAACCATGCATTGACAGGGAAACAAATAGACTCTAATGATAAGATTTTTAATTCTTATGGTTTTAGAAAATCCAAAGGTATAAGGATTTGTTCTCATAATGTTAATAGGATTGAAAGTAAATTTGAAGAAATTAAACATAACCTTATGTTTTCTGATAACCAACCTGATGTATTAGGATTGTGTGAAACATTTTTAACAAAACACACTACTGATAATGAATTACAAGTACCTGGTTATGTATTTGAAAGAAAGGACATGTACAGAACATCACAAGGTGGGGGTGGTCTGATTGTTTATTTTTCTGAAACAATTAAATTTTTAAGAAAAAACAACATCGAAATAGGGGGTATTGAAACAATGTGGGTTGAAATTAAACCAGATTACAAAAAATTCTTTTTATTATGTTTTGTGTATAGGCCACCAAAGTCACTGATACATGTAGATTGGGTTGATGATTTTGAAAAAGAAATAAGAGTGGCAATGACCATGAATTCAGATATAACAATTATGGGTGATTTTAATTTTAATTTTAATTTTAATTTTAATTTTAAAGCACCAAACAAACCTCCTCAAAAATGGCTGAATGTTTTAGAACCATACAATTTTCAACAACTGATTGTAGATGCCACAAGGGTAACAAAAGATTCTAGTACATTGATTGATCATATTCATGTCAATAATCCAAATATGGTACAGGAATCACATGTGTGTAGATATGCAATTAGTGACAATTACCCTATCTGTTTAACAAGGAAAGAAGCAAATATAGGAAAAAAGAATACACACAGTACAATTAATTACAGAAATTTCAAAAATTTCAACCAAAATGAATTTTCATTAGATCTGCAAACTACACCTTTTCATAAAATTGAATTTGAAGAAAACCCCTCTGACTGTCTACAATTGTTTTATGATATGTTGAGATAAGGCTGTAGATAAACATGCTCCTGTTGTTAAAAAGAGAGTTAAAAGGGACAGACAGCCTGAATGGTATAACAGTGAAATCATTTATGCTAGGAATATGAGAGATAAATATAATGCACTTGGTTTATGGAGTGAGTATAGATTTTGGAGAAATAAAACTAAACAAATTATAGATAACTCAAAAAAGAATTATTATAAAATATGGTAAAAGACTCCAATGACCCTAAAACTTTATGGAAATGTCTTCACAGTCTGAACCCAAAAGTTAAAAATACACCATATGAGTTAGCCACAGAAGAAAACAATACAACTAAAAGTAAAAAATCAATAGCAGAAACTTTTAATAACTTTTTCACTTCCTGTGCTGAAAAATTAAGAGAACAAGGAAGTTATACACCTGTAAACAAAGCAGATTTCAGTAATCTTGATAAATTTGTTAAAAATAAATTACATAAACATGATAAATTTTCTATACCACCAGTGATCATGAATGAGCTATTTAATGAGTTAAGAAAACTTGATATAAACAAAGCATCTGGTATGGATAATATTGGACCAAAAATCCTAAGATTAAGTGCCCCTTTTATTGCATCACCTCTCACATACATATTTAACCGAATGATAGATACTGGCATATATCCTTCTTTACTGAAGAATGCTAAGGTAACACCAGTTTTCAAGGATGGTGACAAGCTTTTAGCAACAAATTACAGACCTATATCTGTTCTTCCAACTTTATCAAAATTCATAAAAAGACATGTTTCTAATAATATGTACAAATACTTATCTAAACTTAAACTTTTACACCCTACACAATCTGGTTTCAGGCCGCAGCATTCTTGTCAAACTGCACTTAATATCATTGACAAATGGTTGCAAGAAATGAATGATGGTAATTTAAACCTAGCAATTTTATTAGATTTTAAAAAAGCTTTTGATTTGGTAGATCATGACATTCTTTGCTTAAAGCTTGAAATTTATGGATTTAGTGAGGCTACTGTTATATTTCAAGTCATACCTGAATAACAGAAAACAGCAGGTAAACATTTGTAATGTTTATTCTGAACAACAACATGTAAAATTTGGTGTCCCCCAAGGTTCTATACTTGGTCCTCTATTGTTTGTGCTATTTATAAACGACCTTCCCTTATGCATTGAAAATTGCGAAACAGACCTATATGCTGATGACACCACTCTTCATAAATCAGGGAAAAACAGAGAAAATATACATGATGATGTTCAAGAAGATTTATACAGGGTTGAAGAGTGGTGCAAAATGAATAACATGTTCATTAATGCAAATAAAACAAAATGTTTGGTTACTGGAACAAAGCAGAAACTATCAATTCAGACTTATCAATCAAACTTGATAATAAATTCAGAAGTATTACAAAATTCTTCATGTGAAAAATTATTAGGTGTTAAAATTGACAGCACACTTAACTGGAGAAATCAACTTGACCAAGTTTGTGCTAATATATCATCCAGAATTTACCTTCTTTCTAAAATAAAGAAATTTTTAGATATAAATGCACGGAAAACAATGGGTATATTCTGCCCCTAATTGACTACTGCTGTATTAATTGGGGTGAATGTAAAAATGAAGGGATAACAAGAATTTTAAAACTCCAAAAAAGGGCAGCAAGATTAATTCTAGATGCAGATCCTTTATCCCCCTCAGCCCCCTTATCTAAACAAGAGTGCACACGCTGAAATGTCTCGCCTTCTTTACTAATCATTGATATTATGTTGATAGTCCTAAATATAAAGCTTTATTACAACTGTCACATAAACTTAACATTAACCAAGTAAACTAAACATTGACCAATGAACCATGAAAATAAGGTCAAGGTCAGTTGAACCATGCTAGGCAGGCATGTACAGCTAACAATTCTTCCATACAACAAATATAGTTGACCTATTGCTTATAGTTTAAGAAAAACAGACAAAAACACAAAAACTTAACACTGAGCAATGAACCTTGAAAATGAGGTCAAGGTCAAATAAAACCTGCGTGACTGACATATAGTTCATAAAATATTTCCATACACCAAATATAGTTGAACTATTGCATATAGTATTAGAAAAAAAGACAAAAACTCAAAAACTTAACTTTGACCACTGAACCATGAAAATGAGGTCAAGGTCAGATGACACCTGCCAGCTAGACATGTACACCTTACAATCATTCCATACACCAAATATAGAAGACCTATTGCATACAGTATAAGAAAAACAGACCAAAACACAAAAACTTAACTATAACCACTGAACCATGAAAATGAGGTCAAGGTCAGATGACACCTGCCAGTTGGACATGTACACCTTACAGTCCTTCCATACACCGAATATACTAGACCTATTGCTTATAGTATCTGAGATATGGACTTGACCACGAAAACTTAACCTTGTTCACTGATCCATGAAATGAGGTCGAGGTCAAGTGAAAACTGTCTGACGGGCATGAGGACCTTGCAAGGTACGCACATACCAAATATAGTTATCCTATTACTTATAATAAGAGAGAATTTAACATTACAAAAAATCTGAACTTTTTTTTCAAGTAGTCACTGAACCATGAAAATGAGGTCAAGGACATTGGACATGTGACTGACGGAAACTTCGTAACATGAGGCATCCATATACAAAGTATGAAGCATCCAGGTCTTCCATCTTCTAAAATATAAAGCTTTTAAGAAGTTAGCTAACGCCGCCGCCGCCGCCGGATCGCTATCCCTATGTCGAGCTTTCTGCGACAAAAGTCGCAGGCTCGACAAAAACTTGGGTGGATGACAGTTGACGATAGAATCAAATACCACAAATATTGACTTCTATATAAATGTATGCGTATGGAAGCACCAATGTACCTAGTTCAAAAGTTTAAACTGAAATCAGATAATAATCCTTACTCCTTAAGAGGTGTCACTCAAGGTAATCTGATAGTTCCTAAGCCAAAAGCTGAGCTATTTAAGAAAACTTTTGTTTGTTCTGGATCAGTGTTATGGAATGGACTACCACACAAAATGCGTAAAGCTCAAAACACTTATACTTTTAAACAAAGTATCAAGAAGTACTTAACACAGTCCTGATAAGATTATGTTTTCTACAATGTATATGTATATTTTTTTTTTTTTTTTATTTGATTTTTATTTGATTTTTGACTACATGTACATCTTGAACAGCTTTATATCTTATCATGTGAACAATATTACATTGAACTACTTGACTGTAAATTAACTATGTGTAAATATCTGTTTTTGATTGTATTGTTATTTGTATGTGAGGGCCTCAGGGAAGATAAGTTTATTGTAACTAACTGAGTTTACCCTCTTTAAATAAAGAATTTATTATTATTATTATTATAAAGGTCCATCAATCAAAATAAACTATCATAGTTCGGATGAGCTGTGATACTGCAAAGATGTGTATTCTTTGTTTTAAAGTCTTAAATCAGAAAGGATTCTGGAGGTTGTGTCATACCTGGGTGTTTACAATAAAAATATACATACGGAAAACTTTGCTAAGCTAAATGTCGAGCTTCTCTGAAGTTACATAAATTTGTGCTATTAAAATTAATTTTACTTACGAAGTAAAACACAGCTTGCCCACTAAAAAACTTCTTTATTATTACTTAGAATGTTGTTTTTCGGCTACTGAATATACACCTTTCTATGTAATTTTTAAACAGCACAAAGTAAGTCTTGCACTGAAAAGAAAAGAGAAATGAGGAATCAATTAATATATAAAATATCATACATTTGTAAGTCAATGGACAAAGACAAAATCTAGATTGAGACAAGAAAAAAATAATACAAGTAAATTAGTTATATAAAATCTTAAAAAATGATGAGCATCATGACCAAAACCTTTTTTAAGATTTTTCAATTACTCTGTTGGTATATGAGCTTTATTGTTTGGTCCTTTATCATGTTTAAGTGGAAGTATTAGCCTATGCTGTGCTCTTCTATCTTTTAATGGTGGTAAATTGAGATGCTTCAGAATCGCTGTCATTGATCTGATTTTATAATCTCTGCTACTTGATGAGATTAAATGAAATGAAGCGGGTCGTTCTTTTTTGATGTTTTCTAATTTCTCCTGGAGATAGGTTTGATGCAATGATTATGATGGGGATCCCAGGCAGAACTTGAATATTCAAAGACCAGTCCTTTGTACTCTTGTAATTTTATTTCCTGGGGGGGGGGGGGGGGGCAAGATTATAAGTTGCGCCTTAACCCTTTCGCTGACGAATCCCGGTTTACCGGGATTCACGCTTCAGACAGCTGACGATGAGTCCCGGTTTACCGGGATCGGAATACCTCTTTTACATTTCCTGCTAAAAACATTGGAAACACAAGTTATCTTTCTTTGTTGAATACCCAGATAAAAGTGTAAACATGGCGCTTCTGTATATTGAAAACTGTGTCAAAATCAGATGAAATTTGCGGATTTTACTAGAATTTGAAATAAGGAAACATTTTTTTTGAAAGAATATGGAAGAATTGAAGCCAGACTAGTATACTTTTTTGACATAAAATGCAGTTTTATGTACAAAAACACTTGGAATGGACATCGTTCAGTGTAAGGAATTTATACAACCTTGTTGAATTTTTGCCGTTTTGGGTTAAAAAATTACGATTTTGGGTCAAAAAGTTGAATTTCAAGAATTTCATCTCTCTAATGCCAAAAATTTACAAATTTTGATTTTTTGTGAAGAAAAAATGATCAAAACATTAACAAAACTGTGTCCATGGTGTAAGTGAATAATATAAAACATAAATAACTACAGACAAGTTTTGATTGATATTTAATATGAAGCAGGGTCCGACACTTATGGTTGTCCGATTGCCCGGGGTAAGTTAATGCCATATTCGGACAAGTAAACACATCATCTTGGTTGTCCGATCGGGCAAGTGAAAAAAAAAGTATTATATGATTAAAATTTCACAAAATCAATAGTGTCTGTTGTTTTGTCCATAAATTACTCTGTGATAACACCACACGGTCGAGTAAAGTGGTCTTATCCCCCTTCAATACATATATTTCGTCATTTGTTCGCACTGAATTCCCCATTTTACCAAAAATAGATCACGTTTAAAAATATTTGCCAATCAGGCGGCCGGGGCGTTGCTTTGTCATTATCAATTGGAACACCAGTCGGCCGTTTCTGACGCACGTGTTATTCCTACCAACCAATGGAAAGTGGAGGTCTATTTTCGTTGTTCTTACTTTAGAATTTAACATCGGATGTGTATTTCCCTAAGATGGAAAAACGTAAAAGATTGAAAGAGAAAATGAAATTAAACTTAAACAAACTTGTCAGTTGTTGTCATTTTATCAAGAAGGGTTTTTTGAAATGGCATTTCTCAGATAAATTATTATGTAATAAGTATCTCTATGTAAATGATCCAATTCCCGTACATTCATCGATCTTTTCCCTCCCTCCTCAGCTCATATATGCCTCATAGTATCTCAGTGGTCAAGTCTAGTTGCTGCCATCATGGCACAACAATCAACCCTGGCAAGTTTTCTCAGTGGAATTCCTCAAAAAAGGAAATCTGACGTCCAGTCCGAGTCAAAAGCTAAATATGAACAAAAAAGGAAGCCACGAGTGTTCATTGAGTCTTGGAAAAAGGAGTTTTGGACATGTATATTTCACTTTTGGACAAGAAAAAGTAATAAACATATTTACACTTTTGGTATTTAGCTATATTTTGCCTCCGAATGACCTTAGATCTACCCCAAATCACCTTTTGACGTCAGGCAACAATCACTTTTTAATTGTGACGTCAAATGTTTTGAATTATGATGTCAAAGTTTACGGGAACCTGTGTGATTTTACGTAATGGCGGACAAATTTGCATACAAGTGTAAATACGTCTATAGGGCACTTGCCCAATTGGACAAGTTGGTATAAAAGTTAATGTCAAACCCTGTGAAGATCTCCCACTTGTGTCATAATTGCCAGGGAAGCCATCGTCTCAAAGTAGCTTCTGTCAGGCCAGCTATCAGTGAAAGGGTTAATAATCCCAGTGTTCTGTATGATTTTTTTACAGATTTCTAAGTCTTAAGATGTTTTTCCCCAGTTTAGGTTACTTGTGATGTTTGCACTAAGATAAGTGATTGATTTGAGAAATACAAGTTTGGTGTCTTTCAGAGTATAATCAAATTTTACATTAATTTACTTCCTGCTAAGTGAACATTAGGCTAATGGTTGATAAGAATTGGAAAACAAGCGAATTTTCACTTTTAAAAATTCCTCTACTAAAATATAGATACTGTTGTGCGAATAGGCGGATTTATTCCACTTTCACAGCACCTGTAGGATACAAAAGTAAACATAAACTTGGAAATTGTTGAGATAAAAAGATTTCTTTCCTTACATTCGAGTCTTTCAGACTTTCAGTACGTTTTAACAGGTACAAATAAAATTCTCATTCATTTTTTTTTTATTCTTCCTACTTCCGGTTTTTAGCATGAGTTACGCCATGATAAAGTTTGGCCTGAAAATGTTATTGATATTGTTTTTCTTTAAATATTAATTTCATATGACGATTTTAATGCCTACATTGCTGTGTGTAATTGAAATATATTTTTGTGGACAATTTTATCATTAATCAAATAGTCAAAAATATTTTTTATGGTGAACATGTAATCCCTATATGGACTGAATGAAGATCCTATGACATCCAGACCAAATACATAGAAGATCAGCTGATTTGTGTCGAAAATGCCATAGTAATTTTGTTCAACTTGATATATTTAACATGGACAACATTTGTCCTTACATATCACGAAATGACCAGCGCAGATATAAGCACTGTACGTGGGAGAAGTCAGTAATTTAAAAAATGTTCAACAAAATAATTGAGATAATTTCTGAGTTTACAAATAAAAACGATTAATAAGTATTATTTAGAGTCAGCAAGGTTTAAAAATCGAAGCCATAACAGAAGCTCTATTAACTTTTAACCGACTCCAGTCTAGAGAGGTTTTCTTTAAAGTCTTATGACATTATGTGTGTCTTTCTATGTTGTGATGTTACACTATTGTTTCAGGTTAGGGTGAAGGTTGGCGCTTATTAAAACCTTAAAACTGGCTGCATTTGTTTGCACCTGTCCTAAGTCAGGAACCTGATGTTCAGTGGTTGTTGTTTGTTGATGTGGTTCATAAGTGTTTCTCGTTTCTCGTTTTTTATATAGATTAGACCGTTCGTTTTCCTGTTTGAATGGTTTTACACTAGTAATTTTTGGGGCCCTTTATAGATTGCTGTTCGGTGTGAGCCAAGGCTCAGTGTTGAAGGCCTTACTTTGAACTATAATGGTTTACTTTTACAAATTGTGACTTGGATGGAGAGTTGTCTCATTGGCACTCATACCACATCTTCTTATATCTATAAATGAGACTAAAATTTAACAAAAGGTTGAAAAAATGTTTTATGTACTTGAATGGCTAAGTTTTACTATAATCAAAACACTTGTACACATCCTTTTAGAAGAAAATCATTTATTTTGTCCTAATCCTCAAAATTGTACTGCTTTTGAATTATTGGATTCCCATACTCTAATTTACATGTGCAGTTACCATAACCATGCATCTCACATTAAGGTTCATGTACATGTAAACCCTTTGGCTAAAATGGCTGCTTTTTTACCTCAAAATTTACTCCAAGTTAGTACAGACTAACCTGTGTATCTGGAAAAGTTTTAAGGCATAGCATGCCCTAGATATATAAAATTCAAATGCATTTTATGTTTTAGAAAATTTAAAACTTAACTGGATTTTGCTGTGCACTTTTTTTCGTCCCTGCAGAAGATGATAAAATTAACGAACAGTCGAGTTTCACTTGATATGGTCCACTCAGGTACACAGTTTAAATCACCAATTATTGTTAGGTATCTATTGTCCCTCTATTAGCATTAGCATCTATTAACATCCAGGTTCCATGTTTTATCATATCTAAGCAAAGATTTGAGCAAAAAGAAGCATATCTCCATCTCCCATATTATTATATAAAATTGAGAATGGATATGCTTTTTAATATGCAAATGTGGGGAACGGTCTAAATTGACAACCTGTTTTTTTAAGCTTGACATTGCAGAAGACCATTTTATCCACATGTGTTATGATATTTGAAACTTATATTTCCATTAAAAGTACATTTATAACATGTAAAAGGCTTTCTTATAACTTAACAACTTCAGAAAATCGTGGTAAGTAAAAAATATTACATTTCATATAAGGCCTCACTTCATTTGAAAACCTCTATTTTTTGGCACATGCTCATATAAAATAAACTTCTGGCCCTTTTTTATAAGTCTGATACATGAAGTATGCTATCTGTTGCTTTTAATAGGTGATAACTTATACATAGAGACATTAAAAAGTGCAAGTTTTGGTATTTTTTGGTTTTTAGAAGCCCAAATTTGATAGTTGAAATTGTTCTTATTCAACAGCACAATTCAGCACCCAAAGTTCTGATATAAAAAATGCCACATTTTTTATAATTGATATCATATGTCTTTGAAACTTTGTAAACTGTTTCAAAATACACTAAGCTTAAATCATGCCAAGATTTATTAGAATTGGTCAAGTTTTAGACCCCTAATAGGCCCAAGACCACAATTAATGATCCCACTTTTCATTGTCCACGAATATAGTTCCTTTTAATTAAAGTGTATTTTTTCTTAATTTTTTTCTTTCCCTTCCTCACTCATTTCTTTAAGTTTTTTTTGGGTGGAAATAAAAGAAGAGAGGTGAAATAAACTTTTGGATGTTGTATTTTAACTGATTTTGATATGGAAAGAGTGATTAGGCCAGGTGCAAAAAGGTGATATTTACAGTTTTCAGAACATCTCTTGACTTGTCCATAGGGGTATGGATGTGTATTGGCTAAATTTGTAAGAGTGATTGGTTCAATCTTTCTGAATTTTGGATATATTTTTGGACTAGTACTATACATTACACACAAAAGATTTGACAAAAATGCATGGTGCAATTTTTTTAATGAAACAAAACGTTATAAAGAACTAATAGGGGAATTTAATTGTGGTCTGTGGCCTAAACAATGGGGATACATGAGGTTGGGGAGAGAAACGGCAGTTTTCATTCTTTCTGTAACTGTATTGAGAATCTTCCTCCAATACAGGAGCACCTCCATTGATGAGTGATTATCCACCTTAATAAAAGTTAATGTATCTGAACACTTGAAATGAGACATTTATTATATGATAAGTAGTCTTCCATTAAAACAAAATTTTTTGTATCAACATAATCATTGTAATGGTAAAAAAATTATAAAATTTTTAAATGTTGTTTTTTGTAGTTTAAACATATTTATTCATGAAATTTACAAATATATCAAAATGTAGGATCTGGAAACAAGCTGCACACAGCTTATATTAATTTGATTGATTTTTGTAAGTACATGTATCCCTGTGAGGAGAGTTGTAACTGGGAACTTGATCAATGGAAATTTAAAACTGAATTGACTTTTCAGTCCTCACTTTCTTGAGAAAAAATTAAAAATCTTAGAGCACTGTCACAAAAAATGGAAAATGGCCCTAGCCTGCAGTTCAGTGGTACACAATAAAAAAATTGAAATATATTGTAGTAGTTATTAAATGATAGAATTCAATTGAATTTTAGATAATTAACTTTCAACTTTAATCAAATATTTTGATTTAGAAGGTGACGATCTCTTCCATTGGTCCAAATTGAATCCTGATGAATTCTGGACTAAGGAAATGAAATTAAATTAAACAACAATTAATTTCAATATTGTCAACCCTTCTACATGTTCTAGCTGTTCTTTTGCGCATTATTTGTATGAAGACTATCAAAAGATACCAAAAAAAATTTAGAAACAATGGCCGTCTTTTCCCTCAGAGCTGTTAAGCTCTTTGATTTACATTTAACATTCACAAATTTTATCCCTTGTTTGTTTTGCAAAAGTTGAGTTACAAACAGTGTATGATGTTTGAAAGGAATAAGAACAATAAATTTTCCTACATTTGTACATTATGGATAAGTCTACCGCATCATTACTAAGGAGTCTTTCAGACCCAACAATTTGAAGTTGTACTTCAACAACACTGTTTACTAAATCTCATGCAAGTGGAACTATATTTCTTCATATGACGGAGCATCGTTTTTGTCTAGTTTTCTAAAAGGCTTTTTATATTATTACTTGATGTAGCCTTTGGGGGTGCTTTCAACAAAGCAAATTTTCTGAAACAACACTTTAAATCTTGTGGTAATAAAACAAAAAATAGACACAATGTACACTTAGTGAAATCCAAAATGTTGACAGGCATGACATGAAATTGACAATGCACAATAAACAAAAAAAATGTTATGATTGTATTGAGTTCAATTACCGGGGTACTTTGACTTTGCTTCAGAATACATGAATTTAGATCTAAGTCTATAAAAAGGAGGAACCTGCAAATTCAATATGTACCGGATTGTCTAAAATAGAAGATACTGCGCAGATAAGGAAAAGTCTAAAGATTTGAACAACGGTACTAATATAAGATGTTAATATACAAAGATGATGTTATAAAATCGTGTTGACAAATATTTCGGCCAAAATATTTTTCAACATGATTTTATAACATTATCTTCGTATATTACCATCTTATATAAGTGCTGTGTATATATATGTGTCATAAAGATAGAATTTTAATGATATTTTGAACACAATGTACAATTAGAAGCTTCATCTTTTGAGATTGACCACATATTTCATAAATTTTCTACTTTGTACTACAAAAGCAATACTCTTTTAATTATAAGTATTCATATATTTGAGACAAAAATTTTGACAAAACAAAAGGTAAAAATTTCACCTCATAGTACATGTAATTGGCTTTATTAAAGACAAAAATGATGAAATTCCCTCTTATGTTACCTCAATTTGTTGTTTTCATGCTTTCCTCCTGGAATTAGTTTCCAAACATTTGTAGTAAATATAGAATCTGAACAGTAGTTTTAAAAATGTCAGTCTTCATATATTGATTCCTTGACTTGATGGAAAAATTTACTTTATACAAATGACGAGCTACATTTTTCTGCAAAACTGAGTTTATACAATTATTTTAATCATGATATTAAAAATTCTTGACTTTTTCAGATCAACAAAGAGAAACAGCAGCTGAAAACTTAAAAGCTATGGAAGATATGATGTTTAGTTTGTCTTTACTGCATGCCCATTGTGAGTCATGTGTTAACAAAAAGTGTAATATTACACCAGATCAACTAAGCAGCTGTGAACTGACAGACTGTGATAATATGTGTGGCCACAGATTTCACTCATGCAAGAAGGATGAACATGAACTCATTTGTTCCCAACAAAAAGTACCATGTATAAACCATACTAATGGGTGTCCATTGGAAATGGCAAGGTGTAAAAGAGCATCTCATTTAAGCGTTTGTCCTGCAAGTGTTCAGAGGTGTGTTGTTGAGTGGAATCGTTGGCCAATGCATTCAAAAGAAGAATGTTTAACAACGCCATTGCCTCTGGATAGCCAACATGTAAAATGTACTCAATTAGATGTGGCATTAGCACTTAGAGATCAGCGAATGCTTGTTCAGTCAATGAAAATTCCAAGAAAAATAAGAAAAATCTTCCAGAATTCACTTACACAAAAATACCCCAGTGTTCCACTAGAGCAGAACAGAAGTTCTTCCATTGACTCAGATAATACTGTAGACGATACATCAGGAGCTACATCTGATGAAGACACCCCATGGGGGAGTCAGAAGTATCCTCCAGGACTACAAAAAACAGTTGTTAATCAATTACACAAAGCCTCAAAACAAACTGCTGATAGTGTTTCTGCAACATTAGACTTATTTTCCCATCATTTTGGTAAAGCAGGTCTAAAAAATCTGACACAAAAGTTACAAGGGATCACTGAAACTGAAGAAGCAAAAACAAGTAGCCAGCAAACAGCTGAAACTGACAATGATGAAATTAATCAACCATTAGATGTTAATTCTAGTGAGAAAATATCAGAAAAGGAATCATGTGATCTATCTAAATCAACTGATGACTGTAAAGAAGTATCAGTAGAAGATGTTTATACAAAAGATATCAAATTGTATAATTTGTTAGGAGTTAGTCTAGATATAGAATGCATATCAAAGTATATACCAAAGCCTAAGAAAATGTATACTTTTCTCTGTGCTCAAGATTTTAGAAGAGATGAGTATCCCTGGCATTTCAAAAATGTTCATAATGATATCCACTGTGGGTTAAATGGAATGATGGAGTTCAGATGTCCACTAGCCTACATGGGATGTGATTATTCTTGTCAAAAGTTATCTCCCTTAGAACCTAAGGGGAAAATAGTACACAGTGCATTACAGGAAAGTTTTGGGCTAGCTATAACAAATGCAGATGATCAAATGAAAGAAGAACAAATGGAGGAAATTCAATGTAAAAACTGCTCTGTTACAGAGTCAGATAAAAGAAAACTAAGGGAAGCAACTCCAGAGATAACCACATCACAAAAATATGACTCAAAAATAAAGATCCTTCCAAAATATCAGTGCAATAGGTTATGTGATAGTGCAAGTAGTTTCCCATCTTCTGATGGAAAATTTTACCTAGACTGTCTTCCGTTTGAGGTGCTTCAACACATTGTTGTGTTTTTAGATAGTTTTAGTCTATGCAATCTTTCTTTAACTTCAAAATTATTCAGAGATGTATGTGCTTCACTACTGGACCAGAAAGGCATGGTTATACCAGTTTGGCAGGCAAGAGAGGATGATGTAAAACCTTCATGGACCATTGCATACTGGGTAGGTTTGTACATTGTAGGGACACAGTAACAAAAACATACCAAAATTTGAATGCATGCATTAATTTTGTTTATAGATAAATAGGGTTTAAAAGTTTACTTCTCCATGCATTATCAGCACCAGAAGTATGTGTATGTTGTAATAACATGTGTGACTATATAAATAAACATATATTATTTAAATATTCAATAAAAATACTTTCACCAAGATTTGCATTCATCATGTTCATCATTAGTTATAATGTTTTATTACATTGGTACATGTAGCAATGAATTACATTGATTTCCCAGTCAAATAAAAACCGATAATTTCACATGTGAAATAAACGTGGTTATTTCACTCTCTGACATCATACAACAATAGGCGTTGTCAAGACGTCGATAACGTCTGATCAAAACAAATTGTGAATGCGTAGAAAAAAGATATAGTTCCTTACATTTTCTACATTAATTTCATTAAAAAAAGCCATTTGCCAATGTAATAAAAAGAATAACTAATCAAAGAATTCAAATATCGAAAAATATTCAACTTGTGACCGAACAACACTGATAATTAACTCATGCGCTACGCGCATTCGTGAATTAATGTGTTGTTCAGTCACTCGTTGAATATTTTTCTCTATTTGAATTTTCTTCGATTAGTTATTTTTATAAATCCTACAAAAAATGTAAATTACATATTATATTTGTAAATGTACATTGTATTTTAAAAAGCTACAGCTTAAGCAATGAAGAAAGATCCTTTTCAGTCAATACAAAATAAATGTGATATATGTACATGTATAAAAAGATATTGAAAAAAAAGCATTTGTTATAAATGGTGTCACTTATGACACAAAATTACTTTAAGCCCTTGACAAAACTCAAAAATTCAATGCAACTTTGTTGCTGTTGTTCCTATCAAGGTCCCAGTGATATCTCATTGCAAGTATTAGGCAGCCCCTAGTGCTGGTTTGACCCAAATTCTTTGATAGATGGTTGGTAAGTTGCATCTGTGCAGTGAAGCATAGACATGATAGAGATAAAGATAATGTCAACAATCTACATGCAGAAAGTATCAGGCAAAGAAATCTTCACAAATCTAACTCTAAATCTCATAACTTGCCCATCAATCTTGTTAACTACAAAAACAATACAAACAACCAACATGATCAAGTGGAACAATGCATGTGTCGATTGTTTCTTATGAACAAATGATGATGAATCTACACAATTTACATGATTTACAAGTTAAAGAATCTTTTGGAAGGCATTTTTACACACTTTGAATTATGAATTACAAACATGATAGTAAGAGGAATACATATATATTGAACTTCTACACACTTTTTTGTTATTCCACTAATTATATATAATCATGCTTATTAGAAGGAGAAAAGGGGAGGGTTGAGTATGAAAAAAACCCACTAGTTTTTGAACCCTGCGTCATATTCATGTGGCATATTCAAGTGGCAGGAACCAAGTCATAGTTTGTCCTTACAGACTTTAGTATTAAACGATTCTCAAATTATCCAGATTTAGGTGAATAAAAGAGTTATTCTTCTCTATTGATGCTATTGTTGAACTTACGATTTAATGTTGACCTCTAATAGTCTTTTGGATTAATTGTGTTTTATGCATTAGCTGCTTTTACATGGACATAAATGTACACAACCATATCCTTTTACCAAAAAAATGTTATTCATACATTTGTATTTACAAGCTTCTTTGAAATTATGAGCAATATATAAAAAAAAAAAGTTTGAACAAAAATTTATAATCAACTCTAATAAGCATGTCTTCTGTTTCAGAAATGGTGTTTTAGCACAAGCTTTACTCCAGTGAGGAAATGGCAATACAATACAGGGAATGGTCTGTTTGAGCATTTGAAGATCTGTCCATACAATCAGGAAAATAGCAAGAATATCAAAACTGAACCATTTTGTCCTGCATCAGAACTTCTGTCCATACACAGTACACCAGACGAGAAAAATACAACCAAGTCTTTACTCAAACTGATATCTGCTTGAAAGAGGCTGCAAATAAACAAATCAAAAGTCTTACATAAATGTGTCATCCATTTTCACAAAAAATATCTATGCATGTTAGATATGCTGTGCAGAGATTTTATTTATCTAAAAATTAAGACTTTTTAGAAAATTTTAAGCAAAACTTTAATCGAATTCACCAAAGCAGATAAAAAGAATTTCCCAAATGAACAAAACTTAGAAGTTGATTGTTATTTTTTTTTTTTTAACATTTCATATTTGGTAATTATTTGATAATTTGACTAGTTTGATTTTGCATAATGATATTTTTCACAGCTTTAGAGAATAGATACACAATGTATGATAGATATGGGTATCCTTTATTGTAAACAACATATCTAGGGGAAAAAATAGAAAAAGGAAGCTTTTGAAAAATTAGGAAAAGAGGAGATAATAATTCAATTTATATAAAAAAAATTCCCTTGTAGGAGATATTATAACCTACAGTGATAAACTATAAACATATGATAACAATTTCTCTTTTCACAGTAAGATTACCCTATATCACATTTGTTTAAAACAAAAATTTCGGAAACCATTTCATTCATTTCATGGGTCCAAATTTTGTGGATTGAGGAAAATTTTTATTTTCGTGGATATTTTATTTTTTGGTTTTGCCAAAGTTTGCATACTGGCCTATAGAAAATTTGAACTACATTTAACATTCAAATCTGTGGTTAAGCAATACCCACAAAATCCACGAAAAATTGGTATCCCAAAAATAAAAATGAATGAACTGTATCCAAACATTTAGAAGCAACAACAACAAAACAGCTGTCAGAAATAGAACAGCCAAACCATATAAGGTCAATTTTGCCAGAGTTGCAACATTAAACATGCAAGCCCACTTTGGAACTAAAGATAACATGTTCATTCTTATATGAATAATAAATGTATGTCTTATATTCCTTAGATATACAAAGAATTTATATAGAAGTTATACATGTGCATGGGTTACAAAACAAGTGGTTTACATTGTAAGGCTGTACTATATTGGTTAAGACCTTGAATTTTGTAGATGTTACATTGTAAGGCTGTACTATATTGTTTGAGACCTTCAATTTTGTAGAGGTTACATTGTAAGGCTGTACTTTATTGTTTGAGACCTTCAATTTTGTAGAGGTTACATTGTAAGGCTGTACTATATTGTTTGAGACCTTGAAGTTTGTAGAGCTTACATTGTAAGGCTGTACTATTTTGTTTGAGACCTTCAATTTTGTAGATGTTACATTGTAAGGCTGTACTATATTGTTTGAGACCTTGAAGTTTGTAGAGGTTACATTGTAAGGCTGTACTATTTTGTTTGAGACCTTCAATTTTGTAGAGGTTACATTGTAAGGCTGTACTATATTGTTTGAGACCTTGAAGTTTGTAGAGGTTACATTGTAAGGTTGTACTATATTGTTTGAGACCTTGAAGTAAGTAGAAATTTGTATTACCCAGGTAACTTACACATTTTTATAATTTTTTATGTTAACAATCACACCTTTTCTAAGATTACAAATTATTTGAAGTATTTTTTCATTGTTATATGTGTCTAATCTCTCTAGTAGTGACTATGTCCATATCATGTAGTTATGCTGTTAAAAATGTGATGTATATTTTTTGTTGGCAAATCATAGCCAAGTTTTGTTTTTCGTTTGTAGTTTATTTGACATTCTTTTCATAGATGTGTTAAATTTTGTTAGTGTTTCTGTGTGTTTATTTATTTATTTATTGGCATTCCTTATTACAAAATAATGTTTAAAACAATGTTGTTTATATTTTGTTTGTTTGAAAATAAACCATACCAACTAAATAAATGTAGGAGGATATCAAATTAGCATAATACAAATCAGAGATGTATAATTTTTTTAAATTTTAATAAAAAAAAATGTTTAATATTACTAGATAATTTAACCTTATCAAAGGAAATGGTGTTTGGGGTTTCTTTGATCTTTCAAATTTGAAAAAATTACAAAGAGGTTACTGCTTCCTTTTAAACCTAAAAGTATATACCTTTTTCCTGCCTTCTAGCAGAAAAAAATATGGTAGGTACAAATTTAGGTAGGTCAAATTATTTTATTTTATTTCTTCATTATTTAACATAGACTTATATTAGCAAATGTTCTTAACTTTAATGGTGCTTAACCGAAAATTTCAATTGAATGTGTTTAGGGCAGACATAAAAATTTAAGTTGTTTATAAAACTGCAAGACGCGGCAGAACTCATTGTGTCGAATTTTTTTGGACATTCAAAATATTATTTATTCTGACCATAGAATTATCAATACTCCCCATTAAAATAAGTCATCTTTGCACATTATTTTTATTTCATAAACAAAATATAAATATTCTTCTTTTGATTTCTATCAATAAATAACAACAAGTAGGAAGACAGAAACACAAATATATTTTTTTGGCCTTATATGATAAATTGATATATTTTTTAATAAGATGTTTTTTTAATTCTAAGAAAGTGTTTCTGTTGATTCTTATGAAGGCATTACTATTGTTTCATCTTTTCGCACTTCATTGTCATGTGATTAACCAAATTTCTATGAAAACAGAAGTTTTGAGTGGTATATTTTGAAAATTCCAGTATACTTGATTTAAGGGTTAATTTGGTCAGAAGGCTTTTACTTCCCCTGGAATGTTTTTTTTTCAGTTAAATTGATTAATTTTGAAAACATTTATTTATTTTCATCATTAAGATTCAATTTGTAAATTAATAACCATGCCTTTATTTAAAGTTAAGATGATTTAAAACCGATATCTAGTGCCTTGCAGGGGCATTAGCTGTCAAATTCATGTTCACCGATTTGACTCAAATTCTCATATTTGACTTATAACATACTGAAACATATATCCAAATTATAAAAAGTCTAAAATAAACAAGTTACAATGCATGGGCTCGACAATATGTAGTCGACGCCATCTAATTAACCATCAAGGTGACCTCCGAAGACTGCCGACGGTCATATAACCCGATATAAACATAAATGTAGATATAAAAAGATAGCGAACTCGTGCAATTGGATTTTTATTCTAGGTTTGTTTGATTTCATATTATAGGTTAAAAATATATGTTAATCATCGTTTTTACCTGTATAAGAATAAGTTTTTGTGGATCGAATCAGTCAATCAAATGGTTTACCCTTGTTTCACTTTCAATGTTGACATTCTTTTCCTTTTAATAACTGAACACGCCTAATTCATGTGTAACCCATCTCTAGCTAAGGGGTTAAATTGAAGGTCACATGAATATGGATTCAATGAGGTCAAATTATTAACTTGCAAGTCAATAAATCATCAGCGATGTTTCTTAGCTTATTTTGACAAAATTGAACCAAACTGGCTGCTAAAAGCAAATTATTATTTCACTATTAAACTTTCATTAATGATTGATCAAAACAAATCATATTTTAATTTTTTTTTTATATCTCGTAGCTAATGCCCCTTTAAGGGTTGATGGCATCACAATACAAGCATGCCGATTATTTATGATGTCCCAGTTATTAAAGCATTTTCTGTAGAAACATAGATCTTTGTCAACTTTTTATGGTTTTGGGACCTGTAAATATAGATTGCATTGTAGAACCAATTAAATAATTTACCACAGTATATTTCTGTATGAACAACACCAGTCTTATAAATATTTACTCGGTGCTTGCAGGCACTCAATAGTTCTCTCTCATAGATATTTGATAAAATTATGCTTTATGTCATTTTTTATGAAAAATGGAATTTCTGATTTTGTGTTTTTCGAATCTTGGTGAATGTACAATCTATTTCCTGCGACTATTATCACAAAAACAATCTTGCAAGAAAAATGCACACGAGTCATTAACATTTTTGTATAACTTACAATCAATTTTAGTCGTAACATTTTCTGTGTTAAAATTCATTGGTAGAATGAAATCTTAAAAAATCTAAAAACCCATCAAAGATATGATCATATACTACAGTGTTCAAATTTAAGAAAAAAAGTTTTGTTAATCGATGTACTTCTATGCAGTAATATGTCTTTCAATAAAATTTTCATATTATAATGCTTTTTATTTTTATTTGCTGCTGAAATAAGAAAACAAAATTTCGTCACCTGACCAGTATTTCAGTTCACATGACAAAGAGCAAGGAAAACAAAATTTTATCACCTGACCAAAGAGCAAGGAAAACAAAATTTCATCACCTGGCAAAAGAGCAAAAAAACCAAAATTTCATCACCTGACCAAAGAGCAAGGAAAATACAAAATTTCATCACCTGACCAAAGAGCATGGATGAGATTTTGCAACCACTTTGTGTCTGTCATAAAAAATAAATTTCATTGTCATTATAATAAAAAGAAGATGTGGTATGATTCCCAATGAGGCAACTCTCCAGCAGAGACCAAATGATGTAGAAGGTAAGCAACTATAGGTCACCTTACAGCCCTCAACAATTAGCAAAACCCAAACCGCATAGCAAGCTATAAAAGGCCCAGAAATGACAAATGTAAAACAATTCAAACAAGAAAACTAACAGTCTGGGTGTCACAGAAAATTTCACAATTAAGTCTTTTGCCTTGAATAGGGCTCTCATATCTCATGTCACTTCCTTCAAAGGATACAAAAGCTATTCCAGGAGATCAATAAAAGCTCTTCCACTATATGTCGGGTAGCTTGCTCACTAAAGGTTCTCTTATCAATTGTGTAAGGAGTAATTGTAGTTCCAGCTGACTGAATGTTTTTTTGAAGAAATCTATAAATAGTTTCTCCATACTTTTTATACGACCGCTAAAAAATTTTTGTGGTCATATATTGGTATGACGTTGGCGTCGTCGCCGGCGTCGTTCGAAGACACATTGGTTTTTCGCACTCTAACTTTAGTTTAAGTGAATGGATCTCTATGAAATTTTACCACAAGGTTCAATACCACAAAATGAAGGTTGGGATTGATTTTGGGGGTTATGGTACCAACAGTAAAGGAATTAGGGGCCAAAAAGGGACCAAAAATAAGCATTTTTGTAACTTCCAGACATAACTTGTGTGTTAGTGTATGGATCTCTCTGACATTGTACCACAAGGTTCCATATCACAAAAGGAATGCTGGGATTGATTTTGGGGGTAATTGCCTCAAAATTTTAGGAATTAGGGGCCAAAAAGGGGCAAAAAACAAGCATTTTTCTAGTTTCATGACAATAACTTGTGTGTAAGTGTATGGATCTTTCTGAAATTGTACTACAAGGTTCCATATCACAAAGGGAAAGCTGGAATTGAGTTTGGGGGTAATTGCCGAAACGTTTAGGAATTGGGGGCCAAAAAGGGGCCAAAAAACACATTTTTCTAGTTTCCAGACAGTAACTTGTGTTCAAGTGTATGGATCTCTCTGAAATTGTACTGCAAGGTACCATTCCACAAAGGGAAGGCTGGGATTGAGTTTGGGGGTGATGAATCATAAGGGGGTTCAAAAAATTTGGGGGGGGATTTTTTTTTTTTTTCCTTTTTTTTTCTTTTAAAATTTTCCATTTTAAGTTGGTTATTTCTGATTTATATTTAAAAGCAAATAATAATGATATGGTAGGAGATACACACCAAACAGGATGTGTAAATTATTATATAATAAGTATTGTGCAATAGCAAGAAATTTTCAATTGCACAGTATTGCACAATAGCAAGAAATCTTCAATTGCACAGTATTGCGCAATAGCAAGAAATCTTCAATTGCACAGTATTGCGCAATAGCAAGAAATATCTAATAGCACAATATTGCGCAATAGCAAGAAATTGTCAATTGTACAGTATTGCGCAATAGCAAGAAATATTTAATTGCACAGTATTGTGCAAAAGAAGATACTTCGTATAAATTGCTTATTTCTTGACCAATTTCAATGGGGTTTTATTCTTGAATTGTTGGGGTTCTTTAATATGCTGAATCTAACCGTGTATTTAGTTTTTGGATTTTGGGCCCTGTTTTTAAATTGGTCCACATTGAGGTCCAAAGGGTCCAAAATTAAACTTTGTTTGATTTCATCAAAAATGAATTATTGGGATTCTTTGATATGCCGAATCTAACCGTGTATTTAGATTCTTAATTTTTGGTTCCGTTTTCAAATTGGTCTACATTAAGGTCCAAAGGGTCCAAAATTAAACTTAGTTTGATTTTAACAAAAATTGAATTATTAGGGTTCTTTGATATGCTGAATCTAAACATGTATTTAGATTTTTGATTATGGGCCCAGTTTTCAAGTTGGTCCAAATCGGGGTCCAAAATTAAACTTTGTTTGATTTCAACAAAAATTGAATATATGGGGTTCTTTGATATGCTGAATCTAACCATGTATTTAGATTTTTGATTTTTGGGCCCCGTTATCAACTTTGTCCACATTGAGGTCAAAAAGGTCCAAAATTAAACTTTGTTCGATTTCATCAAAAATTGAATTCTTGGGGTTCTTTGATATGCTGAATCTAACCATGTATTTAGATTTTGGATATTGGACCATAATAGGTGAATGTCCAATTTAAAATTTTTAAGTTCTTAGACCACATTCAATCTGTGTCAGAAACCTATGCTGTGTCAAATATTTAATCACAATCCAAATGCAAAGCTGTATCAAGCTTGAATGTTGTGTCCATACTTGCCCCAACTGTTCAGGGTTCGACCTCTGCGGTCGTATCAAGCTGCGTACTGCGGGGCATTTTATTAAATCATTATAGCAGATATGGAACTGATTCTTTTTACTGGTAAATAATTATGAATCAAGAAGTTTCAGATCATTTTAAAGCATAAGTACGTTGATCCACTTTTGACCAAATAACAGTATAAACATCTTTGAAATCATTCATGGGTCATGGCTTTGTAATGAAAGTTGAACTGCACAAATGGAATCATAATACATTTTTGATTCAGCCATGCTGGATCTATGCGATCACTCTGGTTTTGGAGATGGTGCAGAATACCAAGTTGAAGACATATCATGAAACTTATAATGTGTTTTTATGACTTGCAGAAACTTTCTACACCATTTTAATCATCAACTAGTAGTTCCCTTGTAAATCAAACTTTATAATGATTTACTATTTATGAATTAATTTGAAAAAGTATTGTACATCAATTGAATCAGTTGATAAGAATTTTGAAAGTATTATATTAGTATCTTATGCTTGTGTAAATTATTGTTCAATGAAATTTGGGTCAACATGTGTATTAATATATCTAAGTTGATTCCCACACTTTTTTGAAATGGTATTACTCTAATTCTTTCCATAGTTAAATAAGAGTCAGGATGATTATCAACTGTCGTGATTTTCAAATAATCACACTCAAAGGTGTATTAATTGGAAACACCCCAGTCTTAATTCACCACAGTTAATATCTCATGACCTGTTACATAATTAAATACACCTAACTGAATACAAACATTCTTGATCTCAATAGTAAACCTACAAATGTATCATTTATTTTGATCTACACTACATTAAAATATTCTGTTAATTTTGCTAGTTAGCTGAATGATTAATCAGACGTGGTTTAACAGTAATTGGAAATATATCAGCATTAGGTATTTGTACATTTAAATTTGAATACATGAAATGTATTTTTTCTTAATGAAGAATGAACACCAATTTAGATAAAAAAAATAGTTATTTTTTTAAATTTTTGTTGTTGAGAAAGTGCATTTCCAATGCCTCTTTCTGGAAATTAATAAGCCAATTATACTTAATAATGGCATATAAAAGAATATATTACTTGTTTGACGATTTCCCTTTCTATTCTTGTCAATTCCATTAAATTGCAAATATTTAAAAAAAAAAATCTGACAGAGTCTAAAATTGAAATATCAATATATATATATCAATATTTGCATTAATATTGCGAAAATCCCTACCTTTGGACAATAACATAGAAATTTTACAGTAAGATTGGAAATAGAAAGAGAAAAAAAATATCGAAAAAAGTATGGTCATAAAGAATATCAGACTAGCTATAAATATGGCTGGATCACAACATCGACAATGCTTTGATTCATGTATATTTGTTCTCATATTTTGTTCAAACAGCCAACGACATATTGATATTGTTTGCTTAACATCCAGTGGGAAATGTTTCATTAATTTTAAGGACAGTTTTATTTTTGGGGGAATACAGAGATTTTCACATGTAAGATGTTGACCAAGATGATCCATCTTTGTCATGAATTTTTTGGGCTTTGTTAGCAGAGTGCTCCAATTGATTCATTTTCAGTGATCAATTGCCTGTCACCACAGAGATTGAGAGTTCGAACTCTGAACGTGACAAAGCGTGTGCGAATTAAATCTCACAATTGCCAGACTGTTCCTGTTGCAGGTCATTAATTTCTCTATCAATAAAAAACTGGCCGCCATGATATAACAAAGAGTGCTGAAAGTGGCACTAAACACCAACAATCAATCCTTTATTAACTTTTATTTCCAAGATCACCATGAACATCAATTGACAAAATGTATTACATGTCTCTGCTGTCATTAATGATTGAACAAAAAAAATCATATTTTATTTTTTTTATATCTCATAGCTAATGCCCCTTTAACATGTTTAAAGTGTGGCAAATATTTCATGCACATGCAGGACAATTTTCGGGGCTTTGCTCATCATGGGCCCTTTAATTGGAACAATATTTCATCTCTTTTCAAGACAAATAACAAGACAGAGTCTATTGCTTTATTTCCCTATATTAAGTTATTATTATGGCAAGCCGTTTTACTATTTATTCTAACTCCTCAAGATATCTCATATAATATATAAGATATCTTATATTATCAAGTTTTTATAAGATATCTTATAAACTTTATAAAATATCGTATATACTCAAGGACGTATATATATGTTAGTTATATGTCCTTGGTATACTTTATAAGATAAGCAAGTGTAAACATTTGTATAATATATGGCAAGCCGTTTTACTATGTATTCTAACTTCAAGATATCTAATAAACTTTATAAGATATCTCATATAATTTTCTTTTTAAGATATCTTATAAACTTTCGAAAATATCTTAAAAAGTATACAAGATGACGACACTCTGCACACGGCACGCAGATTTGTCTTATAAGATAAGATAAGATAAGATAAGATAAGAATTTTATTAATCTAATCAAGAACCCATAAAGGGCATCATTTACAACAATATTAAGCACAATATGATTGGAAAAAATATAATACTATCATATTATGGACAGGATCAGAGCCTAACACATCATGTGTCTTACATAACTATAACAATAATTTCATAATAATTAAATATTATTTTATATATTTTGTATTCACCTAGATCTTATTTCTAAACACTTAATTATATAATTGCCTAGACACATAAGAGTTGGTAAATGCTCATTTGTGAACAGCCAGAAATATTTTTTATCCTTGGGTAATTCTTTAAAATTATTACAAAAACTGTTTACTTTATCCCGTAATAATTTTCTCTGTTCGTTATATAAAGGACAACTTACTGTGAAATGGGTCTCATCTTCAATAGAATTTGAAGATATTATCAATCGGTCGCGGTGATTATGTGTCATTTATTACAAGCAGTTCGTGGCGTGAACATCACTAGAACATACGAAATGTGTTGACTGAGATTATAAATAAAATCGGTTATATACAGTTGCAATGGTTATACAATATACATTCATGTACACATAATAAACGAGTTTGGTAATTGTCATTATTTGTCGGGAATATATACTTGTCATACTTATCCCCGCATTAAACTGCTTAATATCCCCGAGGGTTTATTTCATACGGCATGGAATTAATGGAATTCATTTGTTTTATTTGGGACCAAATTTTATTTATAACACAATTATAAATATTGTACTCATTCTTCATTTATCTGTACAAAAAAAAATAAAAAACAACAAAACACAAGAGAACGAAGCCGACCACTGAATACACAAATTATACAAAATTTTTAAAAGCTAATTTATTACATGGTTTTACGGTTGAACAATTTTCACTTTTACCTTAGAAATATTCAAAATACACAAAAAAAAGATATCTTGTATTTTATATGAAGATGTTATAATAGTGATAAATTACTTGTTTTTATTAGTCTGAAATTTATCCCATCGTATAAAGGGAAAACATTGAATTACCGATGTTTAAGGATAGCCCGTGTTTCAATGACCCATTTGATTATAGAGGAAATAGGGCTTTCAAGTTGTCTAGAACAATTTTTTTAGCTCGAGTTATATATATAACGGATTAGAAAAATATCTTGACAAAAACCACATTATTTGTCGTAAGAAAATTTGATTCGGAGAGGATGGCGGACTAGGGACCCTGTCTTAACCTTTAAAACTATTATTGTTAATAACATAGACCAACAGATATCATGGTGTTATGTTCTATATTTCAGAAAGCCAAGTGTTCAGTTAAGTTGAACTTAATCATTGACGAATACCGTGATTTTTTTGTAATATATATTTTGTAATCATGTGATTTTCTATACTGAAACCTACTCCCTATTCTTGCAATTCTTTAAAATCAAAGTGGTCGGACAATATAACATGACTCCTTAGAAAATTCCTTCGTCTATTGTTTCAAAGCATTCTTAGCACAGCACTTAATAAGCCGTTGGCGTCATAGAAAGATTAATATCTCCATGCCAACGTCTTCTTGAAACCACCAAAATGTCTAACAGTGAAAGTGACAGTGATACGGATAGTGTTGAAGAAATTCAAGTTAAAAAGTATCTAGGGACATTTAAGGAGCAACTTAAACAAGCAAAAGCACAGACTTGTATAAGAACTGGTATCAAAAGACAACCTGGCCACTACCATCTTAGAGACACCAGGCAAGCCGTTCTGGTCCCTCAACGTCCCGCATACGGCGGAACACATTGGGACATTGACATACCACAACACCTACAGAGGTCTACCCCACGGCTTACACGTTATGCAATTAGGAAGGCTATTCTGAAAGAACAAGAAAGACGGGTAGAATTCGGTGATCAGAATCGAGGGTTACAAGCATTATCCAAGCTTGAAAATTTAAATAAGGAGTTCGACAATGTCTTGGTGTATAATTACGGCAGAATGGGACTCGAAGAAGATAAAAAGAAGTCCCTAGTTTATCAAAATAAAGATTTTGTTCACTGGGAGTTGATGAGGAAGACATTTGGAAAACAACAAAATGAAGAGATGGAAAAGGAGCGTCAACACAGAATAAAAGTGCTACGTGGAATTTATGACAAGAAACACAGGACACCGAGTATCGAAAATTTAGTTGATGGTATGACAGACACTAATTTTAAAAGATCACTTGTGAACAAAAATATAGAGGAAGCGCAAATTAATCTTGAGAATAAGCAAAATGAAGTTGTCAATGAATACAAATTAGCCATGTCCGAGATGCTAGATGAGTCCCTTGCAAAGGTCGTACATACTTTTGCGGCGAACGACACGAGACGTGCATTCGAAAATGAGAAAAGGCGCCGAATGTCAGAACATCCAATTAATGCAAACCCAACAAGAGAACAAAAAATAATGAAAGTAGCACTCAATAATCTTGTAAGCGTCTACAAAGACGTGGAAGCGAAAGAAAACGAAGAGGAAACAAAATACAAAAACAAAGTAATAGAACAGAAGGCAATGATGCAGGAACAGTTAATACGAAAAGTTACAACAAATATTGCAAACAAGCTAGTTGCGGAAGAACGCGCAAGACAAATTAAAGAAGCAGAAGAAAATATTGACGAACCGTCGAAAAACGCAATGCGACATTTGGTAACGAGAGTCCAGAGACAAATGTTGCTTCAAAAATTCAAAGGTAAATGGGTTAATTTGGTGAAGAAGCCTAAAGATGTTGAGGATGCTGAAAGGGTAAATGAAACAGAACACGATAAAAAGCTAAGACTTCAGAGAGAAACCCAAAGGCGATCCTTGTGTGTTATAAGGGGAGATGGAGATGAATAAAATATTGTTTAAAAAATCGATGTTTGTACAAAAATATAAAGTCTTGCAAATTAAAATATGTAATACTATTTTCATGCATTTTTTAAATTTTTATATGGGATACAATTGGCGTTTAGATATGCATGTAATAATTGCTACTGGAAGTTAAACAATAATCCACCGTTATCATCATTTTAATACACGTTATATGAATATAGAAAGTGTTTTGGTGTCCGTAAGACTTTTAAGCGGCAACTTATAATGCAGATGTTAAAGCAATTATCTTGAGTGTCGACTGCTTATCAATATTGTACTGTATGTGTCTATAGAGTTTCAGCTCCTTTTCATACTGAATATATAAGTACACAGCTCTTAGTGACGAGACTTAACACTTAATTTGTACTTACCATGAGCAACATGGGTGCAACATGTGGATCAGGATATGCTAACTCTTCCGGAACACCTGATATCCCCCTATTTTTGGTGGGGTTCCTGTTGCTTCGTCTAGATTTTTTATGCAGTGTTTACCAGACCATTTTTCATCTTTTTTCGTCGGTTTTTGTTTATTTACCATGAATTTGTCGATCTCTCTTCGACTTGAGTTTTGATTCTCCCCCTGGTATTTTCCGCCTCTTATTGATTCCTTTGCTTACAATTCATATAACAATTGTCTCGGCATCAGTGTTTTTCAGCTAAATTTCATAGTAGTGTGGGAGCATCATTAGTTATATAAGTAATAGTGTGTCAGTTCCTTCTCATAGTAGTGTATGAATAGCAGTAGTTATATAAGAAGTAACGTCTGTCAGTTCCTTCTCATAGTTGTATATGAACAGTAGTAGGTGTATAAGCAGTAGTGTCTGTCAGTACCTTCTCATAGTAGTGTATAAACAACAGTATCTGTATAAGCAGTAGCGTGTCAGTTCCTTGTCATAGTAGTGTATGAACAGCAGTAGTTGTATAAGCAGTAGTCTGTCAGTACCTTCTCATAGTAGTGTATAAACAGCAGTAGTTGTATAAGAAGTAGTGTGTTAGTTCCTTCTTATAGTTGTGTATGAACGGAAGTAGGTGTAAAAGCAGTAGTGTGTCAATTCCTTCTCATAGTAGTGTATGAGCAGCGATAGTTGTTTAAGCAGTTGTGTGTCAGTTCCTTCTTAAAGTAGTGTATGAACAACAGTAGTTGTATAAGCAGTAGTGTATGCCAGTTCCTTATCATAGTAGTGTATGAGCAGCAGTAGTTGTATAATCAGTAGTGTGTCAGTTCCTTCTCATAGTAGTGTATGAAAAACAGTAGTTGTATAAGCAGTAGTGTATGTCAGTTCCTTATCATAGTAGTGTATGAGCAGCAGTAGTTGTATAAGCAGTAGTGTATGCCAGTTCCTTATCATAGTAGTGCATGAACAACAGTAGTTGTATAAGTAGTAGTGTATGCCAGTTCCTTATCATAATAGTGTATGAGCAGCTGTAGTGTATGCCAGTTCCTTCTCATAGTAGTGTATGAACAGCAGCAGAAGTTGTATAAGCAGTAGCGTGTCAGTTCCTTCTCATAGTAGTGTATGAACAGCAGTAGTCGTATAAGCAGTAGTGTAAGCCAGTTCCTTATCATAGAAGTGTATGAGCAGCAGTAGTTGTATAAGCAGTAGTTTATGCCAGTTCCTTCTCATAGTAATGTATGAATAGCAGTAGCTGTATAAGCAGTAGCGTGTCAGTTCCTTCTCATAGTAGTGTATGAACAGCAGTAGTTGTATAAGCAGTAGTGTGTCAGTTCCTTGTCATAGTAGTGTATGAACAGCAGTAGTTGTATATGCAGTAGTGTGTCAGTTCCTTTTCATAGTAGTGTATGAGCAACAGTAGTTGTATAAGCAGTAGTGCGTCAGTTCCTTCTCATCGTAGTGTATGAACAGCAGTAGTTGTATAAGCAGTAGCGTGTCAGTTCCTTCTCATAGTAGTGTATGAACAGCAGTAGTTGTATAAGCAGTTGTGTGTCAGTTCCTTTTCATATAAGTGTATGAACAGTAGTAGGTGTATAAGCAGTAGTGTGTCAATTCTTTCTCATAGTAGTGTATGAGCAGCAGAGGGCATATATATTGTAGAGGATTATCTATAAACCTGGAGAAAACTTTTCACATTTATCCATGTGTGTTCTGATGATGCATGTCTTAAGAGTAGCTTGATAAATACTTTCTCAATTTGTTCACCATATAATAAGAGTCTCAAACATGTGAACTTAAAAACTAAATAATCTGTCTTCTCATATATCTGTAATTGTATTGTTTTTTTAGTTGATCACTGAATCCTATATAAGATTCAGGCCAGTATTTTATATTACCCAGAATTGCAAAGTATTACCCGGTAAGATCCAATCAGGTTTTTGCCAACTTTGCTTATTTATCTGAAAAACAGACTTAACCATGAAATTTTAACATGGAGTAATGAACCTTGAAAATGAGGTAAGGGGACGACCATTTGATATTCTGGGGGGGGGGGGGGGGGGGGGGGGGGGCCAGGAGGATTTTGAAAATAAATAACTCAGCCTTGATAATCACAAAAATAAATGGTTTGTTCTGTGGTAGTTTGAAAATAAATTACCTGACTTGCAATGTATTGAAAATAAATAACTCAGCAGGTCTAATCGAAAGTATGAGATGGCACCAGATTCTTCATAAATTCATCTTTTTTCCAAAAAAAAAATCGGAAAACACTTCCCATATCTTTTAAATTAATAATAAAAGTATAAATATTATTTAAATATACTTGCTGTGACCTATAATGGTTTACTTTTATAAATTTTGACTTGGATGGAGAGTTGTCTCATTGGCATTCATACCACATCTTCTTATATCTATTGAAATGTCAGAAAATTGGTTTCATTTAACTTGAGGTTAATTGTCACAGGAACACTTACCTCACTTTTATTAAATCAGGGCCGCAACTACATTGAGATAAATGCCTCATGTAGGAAATTTCAAAACCAAACGCTTGTCTCCATATCAAATTGTGTTCACCGTGAGTGCCTTGCAAGAAGCAAGTTCTGTTCTCCCTCAGACGTAGCCCCTGACTTTTCGGGATCAATGTTTCTTATTTATTTGTCTTTTGTTCATTGATTGCCCTTCTGTATTCTGTTAGTGTTGCATTCATTTTGTAATTTAGTAATTTTATTATTAACTTGATCATGAGTTTAAAAAAACACAGCAGCCACAGACTTAACTATGTGAATTACATTTTTGCTTTATCATGCATATTTGTCTTTTGATGTTGTTCCTAGAAACTTAAGTCTTACACTGAATCTATAACGTGATTTTGCTTTGAGACCAAAATATTGTCATAAAATTATTAAAACAGAACTTGCATTTTCAGTTTAAGAAAGGGTCTGGGGAACACCCAGAAGGCATGATTTTGCATCATTTGTTCTATAGCTTCTTGGGCCTTCAGCGGTTCAAAAACCCTTCAAAAAAAATGTTGCCTCGCTCCGCTCGGCAAAACATGTTTGCCAATACTTTTAAAAGAGCCTTAGTTACAACCAAACTTTAATACTGTGTATGTATGCAATACATGTATATGCATTGGGGAATATAGATGATTCATTTCTGCAGAGGATAATAATTAATTCTGATTAAATGGTACATAATGACTTGACTATACATGAATTATTTATAATAAACAAATAATTTAAAAATTGTATGTTTTCGAATATATAAATATAGTTGTGAAAATAAATAATCAGTCCCTTGCTTTAATGAAAATGAAAAATCTTGCTTCAATAGTGCAGAAAATAGATAATCTGTCCTCTTAGTTTACAAAAATAAATAACCGATCCAAAACAAATCCTCCTGGCCCCCCCCAGAATATCAAATGGTCGTCCCCTAAAGGTCAGAAAAACCTTGAAAGACAGACATGTACAATATACAATCATTCCATACACCAAATATAGTTGACCTATTGCTTATAGTATCTCATAAATGGACAAAACCATGAAAACTTAACATTGACTGATGCACAATGAAATTGAGGTCAGATAACACCTGCCAGACTGAAATGTACATCTTAAAATCATTCCATATACCAAATATAGTAAGTGGCTCGATTGCTTATAGTATCTGAGAAATAAACCAAGCCACAAAAACTAAACATGACCAATCAAGGATTTGTCTTACTTTACAAATCTTTAGACCAATATACCATGAAAATGAGGTCAATGTCAGATGAAACCTGCCAGCCTGTCAGACGTGTACACTGCAAAATCATTCCTTAAACCAAATATAGTTGTCCTAATTATTATAGTATTTGAGATTTACCTTTATGGACATGAACCTTGATCACTGATTCATGGAATGAGATCAGAGTCATATGAACCCTGTCTGATGGACATGAAGACCTTGCAAGGATCACATATATTAGATATTAGTTATCATATTACTGTCATTACTCATAATAAGTGAGTAATTGACATGACAAAAAATTTAACTTTTTTTTCAAGCAGTCAATGAACCATGAAAATAAGGTCATATGGCAGACAGAAACTTTGTAACATAAGGCATCTGCATGAACCTTTTAAAATATAAAGTTCTTTCGAGACAGGCAAGACAAAAATGACCAAATTAACCAGAAAATTAACAAAACTATTGACACACATACTTAAACAAGAGTGCACACACTGAAAGGTCTAGCTTGCTTTACTGACCATTGACTTTATGTTGAAAGTCCTATATATAAAGTTTACGACAAGTATTACCTAAACTTAACATGATCAAAGAAAATGAGGTCAAGGTCAGATAAACCAAGCCAGAAATACATGTTCACCTTACAATCATTCCATACACCAAATATAGTTGACCTATTGCTTAATGTATACAAGAAACAGACCTAACCATGACAACTTTATATTGACCAATGAACCATGAAAATGAGGTCAAGGTCAGATGAATCCTGCCAAACAGAAATGTATACCTTACAATCATTCCATGCTTTAAATATAGTTCATCTATAGCATATAGTATCTAAGAAACAAACTTAACCAAGAAAACTTAACACTGACCAATGAACCGTGAAAATGAGGTCAAAGTCAGATGGTAACTGCCAGACAGACATATTCAC